GGATACACGCGGTGCTCTCCGCGGCCTATTCGCCCCTATCGTCGCCCTCGACCTGTGCGCCGTCGCGAGTGCCGCACCGAGGCCAAAGTCAAGGGCAAGTTTTGGAATCTCTTCGGCGAGATGGCGAGCGGTGGAACGGAGCACGGCGACGTTACCACCGTAGCAGAGATAGAGTCGATCTTGGTGGTCGCGTGCAGGTTGACGATTTACTGCGGCAAGATGGACGTAATATCTTTTACGCGCGCAGAGCTCGATGAGGCCAACCTCCAGGTGCGCGCTTACGGGGGTATCTCGCGCAACGTATCATGGGGGGTTCTCGGCGCGAGCTTGTACAAGCGCGCGGATGCTGAATAATCGCTGAACTCGCGTGGCAAAGCGTCTCTCGCAGGTAGGAGTAGGATTTGCGCATGCATTTCTGCAAGAGTCACAGCAGTCGCAGATGCCCGAGCTACGTTTCGCCATCGACGGCGCCGGCACGCCCGTGGTCTGCTCATGGATGTACTTAGTTGCTTCGTTCATTCCGCCGGAGCATATTGCGCGCCCTGCAAGCTTTTTGGGGTCTCTTGGGGGCCTCTTCGGGTGCGAGGCTCGAATTGTCGGTTCGTGTTCTCCCTCTTGGGCCCGTCTTGGGGCCGTTTTGGGGCTCTCTCGGGCGCCCCTTGGGCCGTTTCGGGGCCGTCTCGAGATGTCTGGGGACTCGGGGGGCCTCTTGGGTCGCCCCCCATTGAGGGGCGCGGGCGGTGGGTGCATGGGCGGAGCGCGTGTTTCACCCCTCGCTGATGCCAGCAGTGAGGGCGCGACTTGTCGCGAGGGCGAGGCGCGCGGCAGTTTTGTGAAGGTGGGGAATTGGAACGCACCCAGTCTGACAGATTTGAAGCTGACTGAAATTTACCGTTACATGGGGGCGGCCGCAAGTGACGCGATGCGATTAGAAGAGACACGCAAACCGAGCTCAGACCATGACGTCGATTAAGGCAGCGGGTGCCTGGTCATTTTGTCCGGCGCCTCCGACGCTAAGTCAGACTGGGCCGGGGTTGGTTTCGCGGTTTCTCCGCGCGTGCGCATTCGCGTGCAAGGTTGCTGGCAGCTGAGCAACAGGATGGCTGCATTGAAGTTGCGCACATCCAGCGGTGGACTCACAATTTGCACCGCGTGTGCGCCACGCAACGAGAGGGCGGCAGAAGAGGAGGTAAGTTTGTTGTTTTAAAATGACGCTTTGCACGAGCGCGCTGCACGCATTCGCGGCCACGGCCCGCGCGGGTTCTTCGGCGGTTGGAACGCCCAGCCTGGTCGTAGACGAGCTGGGGAGGAAGACATCATGTGCGAGTGCAGTTTTCGAAGGGACTTGTTCGTTGATTTTTGCAAGACTTTTGTCCTCGCGGTGGCAAATGCGGCGCTGGACCTTCCCGACACCTTCGAATCAACCTCCCGCGAGGCAGGCGTCAAACCGAGCTCGCCGGTCACGGGGGGGGCTTGAACGCTTTGGACTTGCTAGCCTTTCCAGCGTGTCCTCGGTTCCGTTCGGTTCGTTTCGGTTCGGGGGAAATCGGCTCGGTTCAATGCAGTTCTGGTTTCGGAGCTGTTTGAGGCGGTTCCCGCCCTGAAGGCGGTTCCGTTTCAGCCGGTTCCATTTCGGTTCTCGGTTCTTGCGGGCGACGCGCGCGCGCGTGCGTCTGCATGATCACATGGAGGCGTTCGGAGGTTCAGTTCAACCAGGAGTCAGGAGGAACCCTGGGGCCAGGGGGGCCACTGGGCCCAGCTGCCCGACGAGCCAGGGGAGCCATTGGGCCCAGACGTTACGCATGGTGCCCTCGACGGACCAGTCGACAGCGTCGTGCCCCTTGGACCAGGGGGCTCTGGCGACAGCGGGCGATTCCTCAGCGCGAGGACAGAAAACGCTTGGAATACGGTCTGGGAGAGCACGGACCACTCAATCCTGGCATGGGTCATCCCAAAGGACAACTGGGAAGGCCAGGGCGCCGCCCGCGCCCTCGCCGGGCGCGCGCAGGATGGCGGGGGCCCAGCCCCGGCCGCCGCCCCCGATTCGGCCCTGGAGGCCCCTTGGGCCCCTGGAAGCCCAAAGCGCATTTTCGAACCGTCCAAACATGCGATTCGAGCTTTTCCGCCGCCCTTCCGTCCGCAGCGCAGCCCTGGAGGCTCCGAAGACCACCTGGGGGCCCAAAGCGCAATCTCGAACCGTCCGAACATGTCATTTGAGCTTTTCCGCCGCCCTGCCATCCCCGGAGCAGCCTTGGAAGCTCCGAAAACCACCTGGAGGTCCAAAACGCATGTTCGACTTGTCCAAAAATGCGATGTGAGCTTTTCCGCCGCCCTTCCGCCCCCAGTTCGGCCCCGGACAAGCAGCAAAACAGGGCGAGGGAACTCGGGGGCGCAGGGGGGGAGTTGGGGGCGGGTGGGATGGGCCTAGCGCAAGAGCGGGCGCTCGCGTCGGGCAGTTCCCAAGGGCCCACCTCCGCGACCAGTTCTCGGTTCGGTTCCCGGTTCGGGCCGGGTTTGGTTCCACCGCCTCCGGTTCGGTTTGGTTTCGGTTCACGTAGGGTTTTTGATGGGTTCCGTCTCCGTCGGTTCTCCCTCGGTCGGTTCGGTTATGTGGTTCGCGGTTCGGTTATGTGGTTCACTGCCTTTCTTGGCACTATGGAGCAGGAGCTCTTAGACATCAGAAGCGATGCGTCTGCGATGTTGGCGTCGGACCATTTTCCTGTTATTGCTTCGACTCGTGACAAGGCGCCAGCGCCCCAACATAACCAGAGGACAGCAAAGAAGGACCTGCGGACACTGTCGACATTTTGCGAGCGGGGCGCGGCCAGCGAAAGCGGGCTCTGACAGCTACCCACTGCATCATCTGCCGTTCTCCATCGTGGCGGGCAGCTTCAGCAGGCTTGTTGCGGATTCGTCCCAGGCGGATATTGAGGTGCGTCACGCGCATGCGCATCCAGGCTGCAACAGCGCTAGTTGGACGTCTGAGAACGATGTTGTGCTAGTGCAGTCGCTTGAAGCCGCACCTTTGGGCGATTGCATTGAGGTGGCATGCTGGCCGAGCGGGGGCGCCGCTGACGGCGTCGAGAGCTTTATCGCCAGATGGGGGAACATCTTTTGAGGAGGTCCCCGACCAGATTTTCTCGTTGCGGGGGGCGCAGGTGACCATCGTCAGCAACTCGAATTGCGACGCCGCCGACTGGGGCACGATTGCCGTCGACATGTTGTGCGCGCAGCGCGTCAACCGCGCTGGGGACATCACCGATTCTTGTCAGGGAGACAGAGGAGTTCCGCGTGTGTGCTCTTCGGGCAGCTGTGCCCATGTCTTGCATGGGGGCACTTCGCGGGGCTATGTGCGTGCGTTGGAGCAGTGCCCTGGGGTGCATTCTCGAGTATAGTATTTCCGTGATTGGAAGGACGATTCGATGGCAGCAGACGACGCGAGTTCCACGAAAACCATTGAGGGGGAGGACTTCAGCTGCGACGACACCGAAGCCGAACTGGTGTGCGGTCTGGATGGAATGTCATATTTGATCGCCTGCCACGCCGAGCGTTACGGCGGCGTGCAGTTGTTTCTGGGGTCGTGCCCTGGGTCGGGCGCCCAGTGTTGAGCGCGCGCAGATGTTGACCGAGATTGCGTGGCCGAAGATTGCGAAGGTACCAGGGCACGCGCGACGAGGGATGCGTGGCCATCTCGGCGAGCTGCTGCGTCGAGGGCGATTATGAACAGGAAAGATTTGGCTGATTTTCAGAGGTGTCAGACCCTCGGGCCTGCGGCCCTGCATTCGTGACCTCGCTGATTGCGGCAGTGGCGTTCCAAACGGACGGACATTGCTTTGCCCATGGGTACGAAGTGCGTCAAGGCGGGGGCACCCCGGGGCAGGAGCATGATTGCGAAACTATGTTCGCCAAACTCACGGCGCACATTGCAGACGACATTCTTCTGGGTGCGCCATATCTCGGGCCAGGGTGCAACCCCAGTGTATACATGTGCGGCTCCTAGTAGCCATTGAGCAAGCAGGCTCGTGCCTCTCGCCGCCATGTGGTGGCAGGGCAGTCCATCAGCGACCTGAGCTTGACGGCGAAAACCATTCAGGCTGGTTGCCATGCGCCTGAGGCAGGACATATACGTGGGGCGTGGCTTTGCACTGCGAAAGAGATAGCCACGAGGCAAATTCCATTGCTATCCTAAACTCGTTCAAAATTATTTGAGCGATCCCGCCTGTCTTAGCTGCGGGCCACCTGAGAGGGCCCAGGCAGCCCCTAAGATCGCCCCGAGACGGCCAGGAGGCCCCCAGAAGGCCCCAAGACAGCCCATGATGCCCAAAGCGGGCGTCGCGAGAACAGCGAAGGGGCCTTGGGAGCCGTTCCCCGAAGGATTGCCCCCAAGACCCCAGCATGCACCCAACAGGCCAGGCCTCAAAGAGGCCCCCACACAACCCGCTAAGAGGCCCCAGAAGGCCGCCGGAGAGTCGCAAGACGCCCAACACATGAATCCAGGATGCCTCCCGAGAGGCCCCAACAGACGTCTAAGAGGCCTCTCGTTCACAACACCAGTGGGTGTGTTTCATCATCGTTGACGCATGGTGGGCTCACTCCAGTCCCCCTCATCCTTTTTCCTCGTCCTCCTTCTCTTCCTCCTTTTCTTCCCCCCGCGCGCGTGAGGAGGGTGCTGATGAGAGGAAAGAAGAGGAAGATGGGGAGTTGGAGGAGGAGGAGGAGGAGGAAAACATGGAGGAGTAAGGGGAGGAGGAGATGGACGACGAGGACGTGCTGGACGAGAGGTCGTTGGAGGATGAGGGGGGCGACGACGACGACGACGACGACGACGACGACGACGACGACGACGACGACGACGACGACGACGACGACGACGGCGGCGACGACGACGACGGCGACGGCGACGGCGACGGCGACGGCGACGGCGACGGCGACGGCGACGGCGACGGCGACGACGACGACGACGACGACGACGGCGGCGGCGGATGACTCGAGGGGGGCAGGCCCTGCTCGGTGTCGCCGCCGCGCTCTTCTCCGCGCTCTTCGGCTGGGCGACGCCGCCGGCTGCGGCTGGCTGCCGGCCTGCCATCAGTCCGCCGTTGGCCTTAACGTCGTCTTGGATCTCGTCCTCGATGTCGTCGTCGTCCTTGTCGTCGTCCGTTGTCACCGCCGACGCCGTCTCCGTCGCCGTCGCCGTCGCCGTCGTCGTCGTCGTCGTCCGCGGTCCGTTGTCCCTCCGTCGCTTGCTGCCGTCGCTACAGCCGGCGTCGACCTCGTCGTCCTCGACGTCGTCGTCGTGGTCGTCGTTGTTTTGCCCGTCGTCGTCGTGCTATTAACGGGTGCGCGGTTCCTTTTGTTCCGAACCATCCTGTGGTGTTGTGTCCTCGTTTTGAAGACGCAGCGCCCCGTGTCCCTCCTCTCCTTTCCTCCTTCCCCTCTTCCCTCCTCCCCCTCCCCCCTCCTCACTCCTCCATGCGTTTCACCCACCCAGTCGAGCGTTTCGTGGCCCCATAGGGAGCTCCACGGGAGGCCCCCGTGGAGGTGGCCACATGCGTCCGCCACACCCAGTACAGCGCTTCGTGGCCCCATAGGGAGCTCCACGTAAGGCCCCAGTAGGGGTGGCCACATGCGTCCGCCACACCCAGTACAGCGTTTCGTGGCCCAATTGGGAGCTCCACGTGAGGCTCCAGTGGGGGTGGCCACATGCGTCCGCCACACCCAGTACAGCGCTTTGTGGCCCCATAGGGAGCACCACAGAAAGACCCCAGTGGCACCGCCCGCATGCGTCGTCCACCATCCAGTACTGCATTTCGCGGCCCCATTGATTGGGAGCTCCACGTAAGGCCCCAGTGGCACCGCCCGCATGCGTCCCCCCACCCGGAACAGCGTGCCGTGGCCCCATAGGGAGCTCCAGTGGCCACCGAAGGCCCCAGTGGCAACGCCCGCATGCGTCCCCCCCTCCCGTGGCCCCACAAGGTGCTCCACCGAAGGTCCCAGTGGCACCGCCCGCATGCGTCGGCCACCACTCAGTGCAGCGTTTCGTGGCCCCGTAGGGAGCTCCACAGAAAGACCCCAACGGCACCGCCCGCATGCGTTTCCCCCAACCAAAACAGCGTTTCGTGGCCAAAATCCCGTTTCATCTCCCTTACTCCACGACGCCGTTCCGCTCCATAGTCTTCTACCTCCTCCTCCCGGCCATCCCCATGGACAAAGTGACGGAGGGTGTCATGAACTATCATCCTCTTCCAGCCTCTCTTGGGGTAGACCTCGGTCTGCCTGCTCACCTTGCTGCCCCGGGCGCATGGGAACGTGGAACATCGAAGGTTTACGAGGCGATTCCATCGTCAAGATCGACGAAATTATCGACATCATGCGCATACGCGAAATAGACATTTTATGTATACAAGAAACGCACTTACATGGAGCAGAATACTACGAGCATAATGGCTACACGATTTTCTTGTCAGGCGAGCTGGACATACACATCACGTCGCACTCTGGTGTTGGGTTTGTGGCGTCGCCAAAAATATTGAAAAGTATTGTGGCCTTCAAGGCGTGCTCTCCCAGAGTGGCCTCCCTACGAGTAAAAGTTATACATGGTATGCTTACACTGCTTTCCACGTATGCCCCACACAACGGCCGCCCATATGACGAGCGGCACACTTTCTACGTGGACCTTCAGGCGCATATCCGAGCAACCACGGCGAACAGCACGACGTACATCATGGGAGATCTGAACGCTAGGCTCGTACGTGCCGGAGCTGGAGAGGAAGCTATCGTTGGTCCTCATGTTTTTAGTGCGCGGATGCCCCGGATAACGTGGTGCAGAACACAATTTCAAACAGGCACCTCCTAGTGGAGTTATGTACGTCTTGTGGCTTGCTGGTTGCAAACACATACCACGACCACCCTGACGTCATGAAAATTTCCTATAGAGATCTGGGCGTCGATCCGACGGACAACGAGATATCTGGGCGCAAGTTTGCTCAATTGGATCACGTTCTATGCCACCACAGTGTTTTGCATACCTTGCGAGATTCCTGGACGAGCCGACTGGACGTTCTCAATTCGCACCATTACCTAACCATTGTCGAATCAAATTTGGCGTTCAAGCGTCAGGAAACCTCAAAGAAGAAGCACGCGGACAAGGCAAGCCTCAAAGACCCCCACACCAGAGAGCGTTTTACATCAGCATTTGTTGGGGCCGTGGGCGTTTCAATTGGCAATGGCAATGAGTCTGTTGAAGCTATGAACAGTAGGGTACGATACGGTTTCGAAAAAGCCTCTGGAACATTGCCTATGCGGGAGACGGTGCCGAAGCAAGCGTGGACAAGCCAGCGCACTCTTGATTTAATCGAGCAGAGAAGAGATGCACGTTCAGCTGGGGACCATAAAACCGAAAAGCGTTTACATAAGGAGATTCGGAAGTCTGGAGCTCAAGATCGTAAAGAATGGCTGGGCCTACTAACCCAAAGGGGAGGTTGGGAAGCAGTGCGACATCTCAGAAAACCTCCAAGCATCAAGCACGCGACAATACAGCGCCCGGACGGGACCCAGGCAGACACAGCTGATCGAGCAGACGTTTTGGCCGACTACTTCGAAGACATCCAATGGCAAATACGCTTCCCAGAGAATGTCCCGGAACCGCGAGCTCCCATAGGTGATTTGCTACCTATCAACACGGGCCCTTTCATCCCGGATGAACTGGTTGGAGCGCTGCGCCGGCTACGTCGTGGCAAGGCTCCGGGGCCCGATGGTATTCCGCCGGACTTTTGGAAAACTTTGGGATCAGATCCAGATGCCTCTGCTATAATGCTTCGCCTGTGCCAGACATGCTGGGAACACAAAGCAATTCCCGAGTCTTGGAGGCGCGCGAACGTGGTTCTTTTGTTCAAGAAAAGAAATATCAAATTGCCAGAGAACTACAGACCCATATCTTTACTCCAAATTGGGTATAAGCTCCTAGCCTCCATGATCCATCAACGTCTAATTCAAGGTGGCGCTGAGTCTCGAATGCGCGGATCACAATTTGGGTTCCGCCCTGGGCGCGGGACGGCAGACGCGCTCATGCTCGTCCGGCGCATGATTGACGCGGCTCACAGCAACAAGCACGGCGGCCTCATTTTGTTAATGTTGGATTGGGCTAAAGCGTTCGACAGACTCAAACCTACAAGCATGTGCAACGCTTTACGACGATTTGGGCTTCCCTCGGACATCGTGGCCATGGTCGAAGCTATCTACGCTGAGCGCTACTTCACGATTGTGGACCACACGGGGAAATCCAAAGAAAGACGGCAAATGGCAGGAATTGCACAAGGATGCCCACTTTCCCCATACTTATTTATTGCAGTACAGACCGTTATGTTGCACGATGCTTTTGGGCCCATCAACTTCGAAGCCGAACCCGCCTATGTGGTGACGCGTGACATTCTATATGCAGATGACACACTACTGTTGTCGCAGAGCAAGGCAAACGTCCAGAGCATGCTGAACGCTATTGTTGGAGAAGGCTGTAAATACGGACTCGAGCTTAACTGGGACAAGACATTACAAATGCAGATCTCAACCAACGTCGTCGTTGTTCGGCCTGATGGTGGTCCTATCAAAGCTGTCCGGGAAGCCGTTTACTTGGGCGGGATGGTTTCTTGTGACGGTAAGGCCACCACCGAACTCAACCGCCGATTGGGGGAAGCATATGGCATATTCAACAAGCTTGCTAAGATTTGGTCGCACACCGCTGTTGGATGGAAACGAAAGTTCAAAGTGTATGACAGTGTGGTGGTAAGTAAGCTATTGTACTCGCTCGATTCCCTGTGGTTATTGAAGGCTGACAAGTCGAGGCTCGACGCGTTCCACTGCCGCTGCCTCCGCCGAATCCTGGGCATTCCGCATTCTTTCTTCTCGCGAATAAGTAATTCGAGCGTATTGGAAAAAGCGGGCGCCAAACCGCTATCTCAGCTTCTACTTGACAAACAACGCAAACTATACATCCGTGTCGCTTCCAGTGCACCTTCGTCCTTGGTACGTCAATGTTTATGTAATCTGGACGGTACCCCACGCAACTGGGTGGAACACCGGCGGCGCGGCCGGCCCAGACAGCAGTGGGCTTCCCAAGTGTACGAGATGACGCAGCACATCTGAGGCCCCACCTCCCCCGTCCTTGTCTTCCTCCCCTCGCCTTGTTTTTTCCCTTTTTCCCTCTACGTGTACCTCGGAGCAGTATGGTGTTCCATTTTCTGTTTCACAGTCGCGTTGCGCTCCGCTGCCTGCTTCACAGTCGTGGGGCGCTCAGCGTTCTCGCTCTTGGTTGCAGTTCTTCTGAAGAGTCGCCAACTGCGCGCTCTTCCGCCCACGCGTCCTACCGGATGCACGGCTTAGTGGTGGTGGTGGCCGCATCGGGAGCTCCAACGAGGGGCACCGCCCGCATGCGTCAGCCACACACAGGACAGCGTTTCGTGGCCCATCGGGGGCCCCACCGAAGGCCCCAGTGGCACCGCCCGCATGCGTCTCCCCCACCCATGACGGCACGTCCCTCACGCGTTTCGTGGCCCCATGGGGAGTTCACCGAAAGCGGCACCCAGAACGCGTTATTCACAACTGCATATGGTTAGGTCCTTCGCCAGGATAATTTTCTCCCCTCCCTCTAGCTCGAACCTCTAGACTGAGAAAGGCAGGAGGGCTGAGGAGGAGGAGGAGGAGGAGGAGGAGGAGGAGGAGGAGGAGGGGAACTTCCGCCACAAGTTAGGTCCGATCAGTGTCAAAAAAGGAGGAGGGGAACGAGCAGGAGGAGGATGAGGTGGAGGCGGAGAAGGAGTGGCAGCAGTTGTTGCACTAGTCGGCAAGGCCAGGCCACGTTGTTGAAGTTGGCTTCGTTCCCCAACTAGTTTTAGCATTTGGTTCTGGTTTATCTCGCGTTTTCTGACGGAAGTGGTTGGGTTTCCCAGGCTTTCGCCACGATGGCGCCGAGATTTCGCCAAGTTGGCGCCGTTGCCCGCCTCTTGGGCCGTCTTGGGGCCTTCTTGGGCCGTTTTGGGAACCTCTTGGGCCGTCTTGGGGCCGTCTTGGAGGCCTTCTGGGCCGTCTTGGAGCAGACTTGGGGGCCTGTGGGGCCGCCTGGGAGCGTCGGGAAGCCGAAAAGGCGAGAACGCCGAAATCTATCAAAAACCAATCGAAATAGATGCTTATTTTGCCCTCTTGGGGCCCTCTTGGGGGGCCTGTTGGAGGCCTCTTTGGGCTTCTTGGAGGCCTCTTGGGCCGTCTGGGGGCCATCTTGCGCGTCTTGGAGCGATCGTTCGGCGACTCGGGGCCCTCTTGGACCGTCTTGGGGGGCCTCTTGGGGCCCTCTTGGCCCGTCTTGGGGCCCTCTCGGGCTAGAACAATTCACGTGCCACCACTTCCGGGGCCCACGGGGCCCAAGGGGCACGCGACAAGCCCCAGGGGGGGCACGGGGGAAGCCCCCGGGAGACCTGAGCGCGAGGGGTCCAGGCCCCACAAAGACTCCTCCGGAGTTAGGCTGAGTCAGAGGGTTGGGCCCAGGACCCGAGGGCACGCCCACTCCGTGCCCAGAGGCAGGGTGGCGAATTTGCCTTCTGGATCTAACTTCGTGGTTGTCCTCGGGGCACTTCGTGGTTGTCCCCGATGCGTCGAATGGCAGGCGTGCGATGTTTCTCAGCTCTGGGCTGACGGCTGTTACATCCGTACATCCTTCGGCGTATTTGTGTGTGAATGTGTGTGTGTGTGTGTGTGTGTGTGCGTGTGTGACCGTGTGTGTGTGTGTGTACGTGTGTGCGTGTGTGTGTGTGTGTGTGTGCCCCTGGTGCTCCTGTTGCGGCGACTGCATGCGCCGCCTCCCTGGAACCACCATCCTTGCGTGGTCCGATGACAGATCCCGATTTGAGATCGTCCCATTCGAGCTCGTTTTGTCATCCCCTCGAAGGCTGCCGGCATCACTCCTCAGAATGCCTGGGGCGGACCCTCTGGCGCGGGGCAAAGGGATGTAGGAGGCAGGCCTGGGCGTGGGGCGGGTCGCGCAATCAAACTTGGGCCCTTTGGCCAGAGGCTAGAGGCCAGAGCCAGGGGCTACGGTGGCACACGCATACACACACACACGCACATACTCTTTGAGCGTCCCGGGCCTGGCCTTGCCACTGGCCGTTCTTCAGTCACGAGCCCGGCAAGACCAGCCAGGAGAAACAGCACAGGACGAAGCGGATGAAGAAACCAACACCAGCATTCAGAACTCGCACGATGCAGCGACGGCCGAAGCCAGCCAGAGTTAGGAAAACAAGGGGCCAACAAGAACACGCACATACACACATTCACACACACACACACATACGCACGCACTTACACACAGGCTCACACACACGAGCACGCACGCACGCGCACACACACACACTTACACAGACACGGACACACACACACTTACACACTTACACACTGACAAACACACACACACGCACGCACGCACGCACGCACACGCACACGCACACGCACACGCACACGCACACGCACACGCACACGCACACGCACACGCACACGCACCCGCACGCGCATACGCGCACGCAAAGGCAAAGGCAAAGGCAAACGCAAACGCAAACGCAAACGCAATCTCACACACACAACACACAGACACATAAAAAACACGCACGAACACACTTTGCGGCGATCGCGGCCTCGCTCTCGGCGGCGCGGCGTAGACAATGAAGCGGGAGAGCGCGCGCGTTCCGGGGCCAGATCACGCGGCGTGGGGGCACACACACACACACTCGCGCGCGTATAGAGGGCTCGTACTTCGAGCGCGCAGCATCAGCAGGAGTAGGAGGACCAGAGTGTCGAGGGCGTCCTGCGGCGTGGCCCTCCCGAGGTGACCCTGGTGACGGCCCTGGGCTTCGTCGGGTGCTGCATGTGCGCGCTGTGCGGGCTCTTCGCTCTGCACCTCGCCCTGCCGTGCTGACTGCGGCCAAGAGGAGGAGGAGGCGGAGGAGGAGGTGGCGGAGGAGGCGGAGGAGGAGGAGGAGGAGGAGGAGGAGGAGGAGGAGGAGGAGGAGGAGGAGGAGCTCTCTCGCTCTCTCGCCGCCGCAGCTGCTGCTGCCGCCCCCATCGTCTACAGATCGCTAGGGCGGACCCGTACTTGAGCGAAACGATGGGCTTGATTCAGAGTGTCCCTCCTGGGGGAGGCGGGGGGGAGGGTAAGACGGAGCAGGGGGATGGAAGAGGAACGAGAAGGGAAGGCTGAGGAGGGCGAAGAGGAAAGAAGGGCCAGGTAGAGCCCCAGAGAGGCACTGGAAGGCCTCCAAGACAGACCCAAGAGACCCGCCAGGCAGCCGATATGGGCCTAAGGCGGCACCAAGACGACCCAAAACGGCGCCGATACGTTCGGAAAATATTCCAATGCGGCCCACAGGAGCACGGGAGTCCCTCAAGGAACAGAGGCAAGGTGTGCAAGTGGTTAGAGCCTTCTGGGAGTCTCGGCACAGAATGTTGTGCTGGCGCGGCGGCGGAACTTGCCGCAGGCAGCTGGATACCATCAGCTGCAAGAGTAGAGGGCGGGTCGCTGTCAAAATGTGGCTCTAGCCTCAGCGCCGCGCGAATTCATTGTATTCAGACTTTTAAGAGTTGGGCGAGAGGGCCCCCCTTTTCGGAGCGCTGAGGCTGTGAGTGCCAGAGGGGGGAGGCCTTAAGCCCACTCCTTTGGGTGTGCAGAGCCAGGAGGCGTTATAGCCAAGACGCTGTAACAAGAACCGTTTTGGTTCCGGAAGGGGCTCGCTGTTCCGTATGTCATTATGTGGTTGTTGTTCTAGCCTTCCGCGTGCATCCAGGCTCTTCCCTCTTCTGCTGCTAAATGGAGGCTTCGTTCCTTATGTGTCGGTCCTTGCTTCAGCAGCCCGGCTGTACGACTCCGCCCTTGGGTGCACGAGGCGTCTGTGCTCCCAGCATGGCTCTGTCAGTCTCCACAGGCCCCCAGAGGCCTCCAGAGGCCTCCGAGGGCCCATACAGGGGTACGGCAGGTTCGCGTCGTGTCGAGCGATCCGACGCTTCGGAAACGGCCCCTCGTGTAACGATCCCCGCTGTGTCAGAAACCACCTCCGAAGTTGGCACGACACGAACATGCCGTAAGGTCGCCCCGACGACGTTCTCAAATGAGATCCCCTGGGCCACGCCACCGAAGCCTGCGCCGCATCCACCCCTTATGTGTCCTCGCTGGTCTTCCGGCCTTGCCTCGCTCGTCAGTCGCCGCGACGACGACGGCGATAAAGACGACGACGGCGACGACGAAGTCGACGGCGACGACAATGGCGACGACAACGACGGCGACGGCGATGACGACGAAGTTGGCGACGGTGTCGGCGACGACGACGGCGACGACAATGGCGACGACAACGACGGCGACGGCGACGACGATGGCAACCGACGCGACGGTGGTGACGACGACGGCGATAACGACGACGACGGCGACGACGGAGTCGACGACGACGATGACAACGACGACGACGACGACGAAGTTGACGACAGCGGCGGCGACGACGGGGACGACGACGGCGACGACAACGGCCACAGCGATGGCAGCGACGATGACGATGGCGGCTGCCGCGGCGACGCCGGCCTGTGCCCAAGCCCGGCTCCGGAGACGGCGCCGCACCCCGCCCCCCCCGACCTGGGCGTCCTCTCGCAAGTCGCGGCCCGCAGCGCGCCCTCGCCGAGCCTTCGCCGATCCGTCGCCCCGATGAATGTGTTTGGGACGCTGCTGGAGGCTCTCGTCGCCGCGGCTGGGCGCGGCCAGAAATATTGGCCAGGATGGATCTTGGCAGGTGTCTAGGGACTGATCTTGAACCGATTTGGGTATGACGACGGCGTCGACGACGACGGCGATGACGGCGGACGGCGACGCACCCTGGACCATGGAGGACGGACGATGGACGACGGACAATTGCGAGTACAGGGACGGCGACTACCACCACGTACTGCCCTGGCGGCTCCGCTTGCATGATTAGTTTAACGCTCGCCTGTCATTGATGAATTGCGTGCTGCTTCCAAAGGAAGCGCGGCTGCCTGCGCCTCTCGCCCTGTATCGAAGACGCCTGCGGCGAGTTACCGCCGCCCCCTGCCTTTTGGAATCGCCCATGTGGCCGAACGTTGTGGCCAGAGCTCTGGCAGGCTATCCGACCATGTGTTCCCCCAGCCGTTGTGGAAACTCTTCGTGGAGCACGCGAGGGAGAAAGAAGAAACGGAGGAGAGGGAGGACAAATAGGGGGGAGGAGGAGGAGGAGGAGGAGGAGGAGGAGGAGGTTAAAGAGGAGGAGGAGGTTAAGGAGGAGGAGGAGGAGGAGGAGGAGGAGGAAGACTCTTGGGACCTTCTGAGGGCTTCTCGTGGGCCTCTCGGAGGCCTCTTGGAAGCCGCCTTGGGCATCTTGGGGATCTTTTGGGGCTTCTTGGGGGCCTCTTTGGCCGTCTGAGGGCGTTCCTGGCCCGTCTGACGCTGTCGGAAGCCGTCTTGGGGGCCTCTCTGAGCCGACTTGGGGCCCCCTTGGGGCGATTCAGGGCCGTCCTGGAGGCCATCTTGGGCGTCTTGGAGGCCTCTTGGGCCGTCTTGAGGCCCTCTTGGGCCGTCTTGGGGGCCTCGTGGGCGGTCATGGAGCCATCTTGGAGGCCTCTTGGGCGATCTTGGGACGACCCTGGGAACCTCTTGGGCTGCCTTGGACCGTCGGAAAGCCGAAAAGAAGCAAATGCCCAAATCCTTCAAATACCCAAGGAACATCTATGATTTTGTTGGCCTCTTCGGGACCTCCTGGAGGACCTCTTGGAGGCCGTCTTGGGTCACCCCGCCACCGTGCTTGGGTTTTGGGTCAGAGGACTCTCGGATGCTGCAGGGTTTTCATGGCCTGGGTTCTTGGTCAGGGGACTCGAGTGGTACCGAGGTGGTACTCATTGAATCAGATCGATCCTATCTGGCGTGGACTCTTGGGACCAAGGTTGTGGATCAGGAGCAATCTGCCTTAAGTGATACCCCAATGGTAGCACTTGAGGGATATTGAGCGAAGGGAGAGGAGGAGGAGAAGGAGGAAGAGGAGGCGGACGAAGAGGACGACGGGTAGGAGGAGGAGGAGGAGGAGGAGGAGGAGGAGGAGGAGGAGGAGGAGGATTGAGGAGTCTCAGCTCAACAGCGGAACGCCCTTCGCTAATGGGAGCGAAGCAGCGGGAATTCCATGGTTTGAGGCCATGCGAGGCAATCCGCATCCCCTGTTTCGGAGCCCAGAGCGCCGCTCCGCTCAAGTGGACGCGACAAAACCCGGGAGCCTCCGGATCCGAATCCAGAAATAATTCTCACGATTGAGGATTGAGGGATTGAACAATGGACCTGGACCTGAGGACGCGCCCACTCAGGACTCGTATCGATTCCTCCGATTCGATTCGATTCGATGGCTGCCGATTCCGATTCGATTCGACCTCATATTCCGATGTGGATTCCGCATGCTGAATGGAGACTTCCTGACCCGCTGATTTCCGCCGACTCGACCACTGCCGACTCGGCTTCCTATGTCCGCCGAGCCGATTCATTCCGATCGCCGATCCGACTTGTCGATTCGACTCTGGGCTCTCCTGCTCATGCCGGGCCCACGGGCACGGCGGCGGGTAAGGAGAACACGCGCGTGCGTGATCGTGGACGTCTCTGGCGAGTCTCTTCTGCCCCCTTGTTGCCTCAAAAGGGGAGGCGAAAGAGGGAGAGAACGTGAAGAGGGTAGGGCGGGCGATAGCAGGAACAGAGAGGATGAGGAGGAGAGAGGGTAAGGGCCCAAGGGAGAGGGTTGGGGAATGAGGAAGTGAGGAGGAAGTAAGGAGGAGGAGGAGGAAGAGAAGGAGGAGGAGGAGGAGGAGGAGGTGTGATTTGATGAGGGAGGAGGACAGCAGGAAACAGGATTAACCCCACAGGGTCTTTTGACCCCCCCCCCAATAGTGCGCAAATATATGGTTGTCCCGCGGGCTTATTGACGGACTTGGACCCCAGCAATAATGGAAAATATTATTTTCCGTGTGGAACTCGGGCCCCACGGGGAGGGAGGGAACCCACGAGGACCGTGAGAAACTTCATCCTCGATTTATCCATCCTACGAAAAATTTACGACTGCCTAAGGAGAACGTAAGGACAACCTAGGAAAACCGAAAGACAACCTAAGGAAAACCGAAGGACAACCTAAGGACAACTTAAGGACAACCTAGGGAAAACCTAAAGAAAACCTAAGGACAACCTAAGGAACACCTAAGGACAACCTAAGGAAAACCTAAGGAACACCTAAGGAACACCTAAGGACAACCTCAGGAAAACCTAAAGAACACCAAAGGAAAACCTAAGGACAACCTAAAGAAAACCTAAGGAACACCTAAGGACATCCTATGGTAAACCTGAGGAACACCTAAGGAACACCTAAGGAACACCTAAGGAACACCTAAGGACAACCTAAGGAAAACCTAAGGAACACCTAAGGAAAACCTAAGGAACACCTAAGGAACACCTAAGGAGCACCTAAGGACAACCTAAGGAAAACCTAAGGGAAACCTAAGGAACACCTAAGGACATCCTATGGTAAACCTGAGGAACACCTAAGGAACACCTAAGGAACACCTAAGGAACACCTAAGGACAACCTAAGGAAAACCTAAGGAACACCTAAGGAAAACCTAAGGAACACCTAAGGAACACCTAAGGAGCACCTAAGGACAACCTAAGGAAAACCTAAGGGAAACCTAAGGAACACCTAAGGACATCCTATGGTAAACCTGAGGAACACCTAAGGAACACCTAAGGAACACCTAAGGAACACCTAAGGACAACCTAAGGAAAACCTAAGGAACACCTAAGGAAAACCTAAGGAACACCTAAGGAACACCTAAGGAGCACCTAAGGACAACCTAAGGAAAACCTAAGGGAAACCTAAGGAACACCTAAGGAACACCTGAGGAAAAACTTAAGGATAACCTAAGGAACACCTAAGGAAAACCTAAAGAAAGCCGAAGGAAAAGCCTAAGGACAACCTAAGGAGCACTTAAGGACAACCCACGGAAAACCTAAGGAAAACCAGCGGAACACCTAAGGAACACCTAAGGAAAACCTGAGATGCTCCGCCCTCAGCAGCTCCTCCCTCGGTTGTTTTCCAAGAGAAAGAACCACCCACCAATACCCAGCACGGCGAACAATATCGGGATTCGAACCCTGGCCGAGCGGGCAGGGAGGGACTGATTGGACTGATGGGTCGGATTGGACTGATGGGGACTGATTCGGTTGATTGGCGTTAATTGGGCTGATTGGGAAGATGGGGGCTGATTGGGGTGATGGGGACTGATGGGGACTGACTGGGTTGATGTGGACTGACTGAACATGAACAGCGACCTGAGACGGAGCGATCTTGTACTACGTGCCTTGCACGAACAGGCTCCGAAAACCTCCTCCGTGTAGGGTAGCCCACGCGGGGTTGTTTTCCGCGAGAAAGAACCACCCACCAATACCCAGCACGGCGAACAATATCGGGAATCGAGTCCTGGCCGAGCGGGCAGGGAGGGCTGATTGGACTGATGGGTCAGGTTGGACTGCTGGGGACTGATTCTGTTGATTGGCATTGATTGGACTGATTGGAATGTTGGGGACTGCTTGGGATGATGGGGACTGATGGGGACTGACTGGATTGATTTGGACTGACTGACACTGAACAGCGATTCGAGACGGAACGATCTTGTACTACGTGCCTTGCACGAACAGGCTCCGAACACCTCCTCCGCGTAGGGTAGCCCACGCGGGGTTGTTTTCCAAGAGAAAGAACCGCCCACCAATGCCCAGCACGGCGAACAATATCGGGAATCGAATCCTGGCCGAGCGGGCAGGGAGGGACAAATTGGACTGACGGGTCAGATTGGACTGATGGGGACTGATTCGGTTGATTGGCATTGATTGGACTGATTGGACTGATGGGGGCTGCTTGGGATGATGGGGACTGATGGGGGCTGACTGGGTTGATTTGGACTGACTGACACTGAACAGCGATTCGAGACGGAGCGATCTTGTACTACGTGCCTTGCACGAACAAGCTCCGAAAACCTCCCCCGTGTAGGGTAGCCCACGCGGGGTTGTTTTCCAAGAGAAAGAACCACCCACCAATACCCAGCACGGCGACCAATAACGGGAATCGAATCCTGGCCGAGCGGGCAGGGAGGGACTCATTGGACTGATGGGTCAGATTGGACTGGTGGGGGCTGATCGGGTTGATTGGCATTGATTGGACTGATTGGAATGATGGGGGCTGCTTGGGATGATGGGGACTGATGGGGACTGACTGGATTGATTTGGACTGACTGACACTGAACAGCGATTCGAGACGGAGCGATCTTGTACTACGGGCCTTGCACGAACAGGCTCCGAAACCATCCCCCGTGTAGGGTAGCCCACGCGGGGTTGTTTTCCAAGAGAAAGAACCACCCACCAATACCCAGCACGGCGAACAACATCGGGAATCGAATCCTGGCCGGGCGGGCAGGGAGGGACTGATTGGACTGACGGGTCAGATTGGACTGATGGGGACTGATCGGGTTGATTGGCACTGATTGGACTGATTGGAATGATGGGGACTGCTTGGGATGATGGGGACTGATGGGGACTGACTGGATTGATTTGGACTGACTGACACTGAACAGCGATTCGAGACGGAGCGATCTTGTACTACGTGCCTTGCACGAATAGGCTCCGAAAACCTCCTCCGCGTAGGGTAGCCCACGCAGGGTTGTTTTCCAAGAGAAAGAACCACTCACCAATACCCAGCACGGCGAACAATATCGGGATTTGAATCCTGGCCGAGCGGGCAGGGAGGGACTGATTGGACTGATGGGTCAGATTAGACTGATGGGGACTGATTCGGTTGATTGGCGCTAATTGGACTGATTGGGAAGATGGGGACTGATTGGTATGATGGGGACTGACTGGGTTGATGTGGACTGACTGAACATGAGCAGCGACCTGAGACGGAACGATATTGTACTACGCGCCGTGTACGGACAGGCTCGGGAAACCTCCCCCGTGTATGGTAGCCCACGCGAGGTTCTTTTCCAGGAGAGATAACCACCCACCAACAACCAGCACGGCGAATAATAACGGGAATCCAATCCACTACTGCTCACTACGGCCACTACTAGTTCTACTACTATTACTACTACCACTACTACTACTACTACTACTACTACTACTACTATTACTACTACTACTACTACTACTACTACTACTACTACTACTACTACTACTACTTCTACGACGACGACGACGACGACGACGATTACTACTACTACTACTACTACTACTACTACTACTACTACTACTACTACTTTTACTACGACTACGACTACTACTACTACTACCACTACTACTACCACTACTGCCACTACTACTACTACTAGGACCACTACTACTACTACTACCTGAGGAGCGGCATGGGCGCACAGGCGGCGGAGTGCGGGCCGGCGACGACGGCCCCGGCGACGGCGGCTGCTTGCCCCGCGCCGCCGCGTGGCTCAAGAGGAGAAAGGCCCCCCTCCTCCCTCTCCTCAGAAGCGCGGGGGAGGCGCGGGGGGGCCCGCCCGGGGCCCGAGGGCCCGCAAGGGCCCGGCGGGCCCGAGGGCGGCTCGAGGAGGCCGCTCTCGAGGCCCAGGGGGGCCGAGGCTCCAGGTGAGCCTCGCGTGGGGGCTGCTCCGGGAAACGACTTCCCGAGCGGGCCCGGGCCCGGGCGATGGCGTCACCAGCGCGGGCGCCGCGCGCGGAGCTGGGCGGCGCCGACGTGGGCGACGCCGAGGCGGGCGCGGAGGCTGGCGCGCCGTCGGCGCAGGCAGCCGCGGCCCCAGCGGGGCCACCCGCCTCCGGCGCCGGCGCTGGCGTGGAGGTCGCCGGCTTCGAGGGCTCGCTGCTGGAGGCGATCGCCGACGGGGCCGTGGCGCAGCCGCCGCTGCTGGCCTTCGGCGCCTGGGTGCAGTGGCGCGCCGGCCCAGGTCGCCGGCTTCGCACGGCGCCCGCGATCGCGGCCAGCGAGAGCGCGCTGTGGCGGAGCACCATGGAGGCGCTGCACGGCCACGACTGGCAGGCGCGGCTGCGCCAGCAGGGCCCCGCGGCGGCGCGCAGCCCCGCGACGCCGGCGGCGGCGCAGCCGCCGGCGGCCGACGACGTCCTGCGGCTGCTGGACTCGCCGGCGCGGGCGTCCGACGCGGGCTCCGACGCCACTGGAGCCCTGTCGGACGGCAGCTGGGGGCCGCTCACGGACGACGAGGTCCTGGAGCGGCTGCTCAAGGACGTGGAGCTGCACGAGTCGATGCGCGACTTCGAGCGGCGGGCCGGGGCGCCTGTTGTGTGTATTGCTTGCTTTTTGTTGTGCTGTGTGCTTTGTGTTTTTTTTTGTTGTGCTGCTGTGGTGTGTTGCTGCATTGTTGTCTGTGTGCTGTTGGTGATTTTGTTGCTTGCTTGTGGCCTCTGATTGTTTTACCTTGTTGTGTTTGTGTGTTTTTTGTCTGACTTGCTTGTGTTTGTATTTTGTGCTTTGTGTGCTTTTGTTTGTGTTGTGTGTGTGTTGACTGCGCGCTAGGGCTGTCCCACTGTGCTGACGCTGCGGCGGCAGGCGGTGCCCGAGGGCGCAGTCGAGTTCGGCATGAGGAAGGCCCGCTTCCTGGTGGAGGCGCGGGCCCACGGCGAGGGCGTGGCGGCCGCGCTGGAGGCGAAGCTGCACGCCGTCCTGGACGTCGAGACGGACGACGCCGACGAGGACGTGCGGGCGCTGATGGACCTCCTCGCGGTGGCGCGCGGCGGCGGCAGCGCTCGCGACGCCGTGGCCGGCGGGGCGCCGGCGCGGCCCCCGCGGGGCCACCCGCCTTCCCCGCGGGGCCACCCGCCCACCGGCGTCGGCGCGGCTCCCGCGGGGCCACCCGCCTTCCCCGCCTTTGGCGAGGACCTGCCGCCGGGGCTTCCCCCGCGGGGCGGGCCGAGCGAGGCGGGCCAGGTGGAGCCCAGCTTGGCGGCAGCGCTGCAGGGGCTCGCGGGGGCGCTCGGCCGGCGGGCCGACAAGAAGTCGTCGACGATCCAGGTGAAGCCGCACTACAGTCTGCCGACCCTCGGCGACGGCGACTTCGACGTGGATTCGTTCGTGGAGGAGTTCGAGGAGATGGTCGGCCTGGCGAACGACGGTTCGGGCATGTCGGCGACGGAGATGGTGCGTGTGCTGGGGACCTGCCTGAAAGGCTCGCGTCAGCGGGCTTACAAGGTCGAGCTGAAGCAGGCTCGCCGGTCAGGCAGGCTGGCGGCGGATCCCGACGAGGTGTACCAGAGCCTCAAGGAGAGGCTGATGGAGTTCAAGGAGGGCCTGCTGGAGAAGCAGCAGCGGCTCAACGCTGAGTGGAGGACGCTCTCCCGAGGCAAGATGAGCGCGCTGGAGTTTCAGGCGACGTTCGAGAACATCGCGGCGGAGATGGAGCTGGCTGGGATGGGCAAGTCCGATCGTGACTTGCTGCTCGGCTACTTGGCGCTCATCCCTCCCGCGCACCGGGCAGAGGTGCTCAAGGATCGCCGAGTGTATCAGCGCTCTGGCGCCCAGCCCGAGGTCCGCGGCGCCGAGACCTGGAGGGAGGCCCATCGCGTGCTGCTGAAGCTGGAGGAGGCCGAGAGCTCGGCCAAGGCGCTCGTCGCGGCGGTGGGCTCGGACTTCGCGCCCAGCCCGGGCGGCGGCGGTGGCCGGCGTCGGCGCGGCGGCGGTGGCGGCGATCAGGAGCCGCCCGAGGTCGGCGCTGTTGGCGGCTCCGGCGGCGCCGGCGCTGAGGGAGCTGTGAAGGTCTGCTTCCAGATGCGGGACAGCGGCACGTGTGCCCGTGGCGACGCCTGCAGGTTCTCGCACGACCGGGCTGCCATCGCCGAGTCGCGGAGGACCAAGAAGGACGCGACCGGGCCGAAGGGCAAGGGCGCGGACGGCAAGAAGGGCAAGGGCTCGGACGACGGCGGCGAGGGCGGCCTCAAGTCGCAGCTCTGCCTGCAGTTCCTCCGGGGTGCGTGCAGCAAGAGCGAGAAGGACTGCAAGTTCAGCCACTCGGGTAAGGCAGCTCAGAAGGTCATTGCAGCGGTCTATGCTGGCGCGGCCGCAGCTAAGGCGCCGCCGCCGAGCCTCGGCAGCGCGGGCCCCCCCGGCAGCGGCCAGGGAGCAGCGCCTGCGGCCGAGGAGGCGGCGCGGCCCGCAGCCTCTGGCGCGGCGCCGAAGGTGCAGGCTGCGGCGGGGAGCAAGCTCGAGTGGGTGCGACCTTGTGGCGGAGTCTTCGGCCCGAGCTACGACCTCCCGCGGGTGAGCGTCGTCAGGGGCTCGCCTTCGCCCGAAGGAGCTCTGAAGGACCTGGACCAGATCCCCGCCAGCGCCTGGGCGCAGGTGCAGGAGCCCGACGACGGGTACCACTACTTGTGCCACACGCATGTCTACGGCCTCAGCATCAGGACGCTCCTTGATGGCGGGGCCGTGTTCTCCCTGACGTGGGAGGCGACGATCGTCAGCATCATCAACGGCGCGATCGCGGAGGGCAAGTCTCCGGAGGACCCCGACTGGCCGATCGCGGGCCTGATGCACTGGGGCCGGGACTCGAAGGCCTCGTCGGTGGCGGACAAGGGCGACCTGAAGATCCGTGGCATGGTGGACCTGCGCCTGGCCTTCGAGGGGCTGGGCGGCACGCGAGTGGTGCGCGTGTTTCGCCTTCGGCTTCTGCGCGGGGGTTGGGACAGGCCGTTTCTTATCATTCTTGGGGCCCCAGCGCTCGATGCACCCCCTCTGGGGATCGGGCACCGGCCTACGCTTCAGGGCCACTACCTACCAGGGCTGGGCATCGCGGTCAAGCGTGCAGAGGCCGACGCGGTGCAAGCGAAGCTGTTGACCATCTCGGCGGTGTTCTCAGAGTGCGATGCCGATAGGCGTCGAGGTGAGGATCGTCGGGCTGCCAGTGCTGTAGGATCCCTGGTGTGGTCCGGCGCGGCTTGCCCGAGCTACCCCATCTGCATGGTCGGCGGCCAGTGCCCCCGCGGAGTTCGGCGGCGGCGACACAGGCGTGATCGTGCTCGACGACTCGGAGTCCGCCGTCCCCATCTACCTGAGCGGCGAGGAGGGCGTGCGGCTGGAGCTCGGCGACTGCGCGCTGGTGCCAGCTCGCGCTAGCGGCCTCGCAGCGGGTGTCGTCGGCGACGTGGTGGCGAATGGCGCGGCGGCCGTCTGGGCCGCCCCCGGCCCTTGGCTTGGCCGGGAGCAGCTCGTCCTGGTCGGCAACTGGGACCAGCCCGGCGTCAGCATCGAGGTCGGCGACATCGTGGGCGCCGTGATTCAGACCGATGGCGAGCCGGCCAGCGACGACCCGTCGGTGGCGCACGTGTGGCAGGATTGGGACGAGCTTCGGGACATCGTTGAGCTGGAGGTGCCGACGGACGAGTACTACGCCGAGCGGCTGGTCTACTGGCAGCGGAAGTACCCGAAGGCGGCCACGACCCTCCTCGAGCATCTCCTGGCGGTCGAAGGCCTGCTGGACGTGTGCATCGCGGCCGGGTACTCCATGGGTGCCGAGAAGTCCCTCGACAGGCTGGCTCAGCCCTCCATCGAGGCACTCGGCGAGATCGTGGGCCGCGAGGGCAGCGAGGCGTGCGAGCGGCATCTGGAGCTCATCAAGAACTGGTCGGTGCTCGAGGACGTGGCGGCGCTGCGGAGGTTCCTTGGCACGTTCAACTGGATCCGCGGCCACTTCCCCAAGGAGGTGCAGAAGCCGCTGGGGATCCTCACGCAGCAGCTCAAGAAGGACGCCGAGTGGCCGATGACCTCCGAGAAGGTTGCGGCCCAGCGCGCCATCCAGCAGCTCGCGTGCGAGGCCATCCGCCTCGCGGTGATCGACATGGTCGGGGCGATCTCGAAGGACCGCCCGCTCGAGCAGGTCGCGGATTTTTGCCCCTACGGTTGGGGTGGCAGCGTGTATCAGCTGGCCGCCGACCGCCGCACGCTCAACGTGCTGGCGATGTACGGCGGCTGCCTCAGCTTGGCGCAGAGCAACTGGCACCCCCGCCGGGGTGAGCTGTATGCGCAGCGTGAGACCAGGCGGGAGGCACGTAAGGATTTCGGTCGGCTGCCCGCCCTGTGCTGGACGGACCACGCGGCAGCGGTGAAGGACGCTACGGGTGAGGCCGAGACGGACTCCACCGTCATCCGCTGGGTTGGCGAGATCGAGAGCGACGGCAGCAGGCTGATGAATCTCTCGGGGCGGAGCGCGGCCCTTGGTGATGGCCCCTCCCGAGAGAACGAGGCCCACGGCAAGTTCCTGCGCGAGCGGGCTCACTCCCTGGCGAACATCACGATCGAGGACATCATCGGTGATGTCTACCGTCCGGGGGAGGGGGTCCCGTGGGGCCTGGACGAGACTCCCGACGCGGCCGCCTTGCAGCTGGTGGCCGTGGCCGGGGCGGAGCGCGAGAAGGGCGACTCCATCGCGCTGTACCTGCCGGACTACGGGTGCGAGAGGCGGCGGAGCGCAGAGCAGGCGCGAGCAGCTCGTCAGCTGCAGCTGGCGGCGCCAGGCCTGCGGCTGCGCATGATCCCGCACGACCCTCCGCTGGCAGACGGCGCCGGCGGCCTGTACTACATCGCGCCTCCTCGCTTCCCAGGTGATGCGAGTGGTAAGGCGCGGAAGCAGCTTCGCAATGACGTGCTGACCGCGGTGGCCGCCGTCTTGCGAGAGTGTGCCGCGCGGTGGCCCAAGGTCGTGATCGGGACGGGCCACGGCGGGCTGGTGGCGGCTGCAGCGGCCCACCCCAGAGTGGTGGAGGCCGCTCTCGCGCTGCGGTACGCGAGAGAGGCGGAGGGCATGCAGGTCGCGGAGGCGTGGGTGAACGTCAGGGCGTTCGTGGCGATCGGGCCGCGCGCCCGCAGCCCGAGCAGGATCGGCTTTGTGCGAGAGGCGTTTCCGGAGTTCGGAGCGGCTGCCCACGGCGACGAGCGCCCGGCCCCCCTCTATTTGGTGGAGGGCGCCGGGGCGCACCGCCGTTTCGGGCAGGACCTCGGCGAGGCGCTGGGCGTGAAGGTGTCGGCCACGCTGGGCGAGGTCCTCATGCAGGAGGTGGTCTCTGCCCCCCCGCGGATGCTGGAGTTCAGCGGGGGGCGCTGCGCGTGCGGGCGGAGTTCGCTGGTGCTGGCGCGGTGCGGCCAGTGCATCAGGGCCGACCGCGAGCTCGAGGAGGAGGCGCGGCTGGCTGAGGCGCCGGAGGAGGCGTTCGGGGAGCCCGACGTGGTCGACGTGGCGGCCTCGGCGGCGCGCATGCGCGCGGTCCGCCCGCAGCCGGCAGTCGCCGTCGGGCCTGGCCCCTGCATCGCCGTGTCGGCGGAGCTCGTGCGGGACCTCCTGGAGTTTGGCGGCGGCCGGGCGGATTTCACGTGCAACTGCATCCGGGTCCGCCGAGCGCCGGCTGCGGGCGTCGTGGCCTTGGAGGCCGCGCGGGGTTTTTCCTATCGGCTGTCGTGCTTTGTCGTGCCGCAGGGGCCCGAGCCGGGCGTGGAGGTGGCGCTGGCGCAGCCGTGCGTGGAGTTCGGGCTGGAGCTCGTCACGGAGATCGACGTGGAGCTGCTGCAGGCGGGCTTGCCGAAGGGCGCCGAGCTGGTCCAGCTCTTCGCCTGCGCCTGGCTGCTGTGGGAGGGCGGTGCGCGCCTCCCCGCGCTGGGCGCTACTCACGTGCATCGGCACTGCAGGGGGTCGGCCATCTGCAACGGTGCGGTCGTCAAGGTGTCCTCCTACTCCTCCGCCTACTCCGAGGTCTTCGCGGGAGCCCTGGGGTTATCGTGGTACCAGGCCCTCCGCGATCGCTTCGGCGGGCGGGCATCAGGAGCCTTCGTCGAGTTCGCGGACTCCGACTTCGCGCGCGGCGAGCGGGAGGCCTTCGAGGTACCGGACGTCCTCGGGGCGATCACCGGCATGCGGGCGCCGACGTCTGAGCAGGTGTGCTCCGTCGGGGGCGTGGCATGTGCCCCGGAGCGCGGCGCTGCAGCCTTCGACGCGGAGGTGGCGGACGGGCGCAAGCTGGAGGACGCCGACATCGCCATCAGGGAGGAGTACGCCGCGAAGGTGCGGGGCTGTGAGCCTGAGGCGGGGAGCGAGCCGTTCGAGCTGTCCAAGTCGCTCCGTGCCCACATCATCGGGGACCAGTGGAAGGACGAGGAGTGCGGGGCCACCTGCATGCAGCTCCGCGCCGAGCCTGGCGCCGGCGACACCCCCGAGGCGCAGCGCCTCGGGGAGGACTTCGCGCTCGAGCAGTTCGTGACGGTGGGCCCAGGGGAGCAGCGCTGGCTGCTAGTTCTCCCTGCGTCTGGCGGACCGGGCTCGGGTATATCGTGGAGGCGTTTCATCTTCCTCCACGTTCACGCTGGCCCGTCGGGGGGCCACAAGACGGTGGTCGCCACTCGTGAGTGCGCCCGGCGGCTGGTGGTTTGGCCGGGGCTCGCGGCGGACATCGAGAAGTGGTGTGCTAGCTGCTGGGCCTGCCTCCGATTCAGGCAGCAAACTACGAAGGTGCAGGCCAGCTTCATCGTGGCACGGCACCGGCTTCCTTTTCATCATGTGGTCATCGACGTGGAGGGCCGCATCACCCCCCCCGACGTCGACGGGCACGCGTACGTGCTGACCTACATCTGCGTGACGACGGGGGCGCCCCTGCCTGAGCCGCTCAAGCACCTGCAGCACTCCGAGGTCCGGCGTGCCTTCTTTCGATGCGCGACTCGGGCCAAGACCTGGCCGATGCTTGTGAGCTCGGATCGGGGCAAGGAGTTCTGCAACGCTCTCATGGAAGAGCTCTGGGCGCTCCTCAACTTCGCGGGCCGCTTCGGCACGTCGTGGAGGCCCTGTGAGCAGGCGGACGCGGAGCGGTCCCACATCGAGTGCGCGAGGGAGATCGGCATTTTCCTGCACGACGTTTTTAAGTGTGCCCCCGGCCAGTGGGCCGAGCTGCTGCCCATCGTCGAGTTCGTGTTGTGGAACTCGCCCGGCAAGTCGGCGCTGTCGCCGAGGGACCTCTGCATGGGTTGGTCGTTGGCTTCGCCGCTGGACCCAGAGGTCCTTCACGTCCGTTTTTTGGACATGGTTTTTGGACATACATTCTCGCGTCCTTTTTTTGGACGCAAGAATTGGTTTTAGTTGGGATTTGGACTTTGCGCTTGTTTTTCTGTTTTATCCGCTGCAAAAAAAGGAGGAGGAGGAACCATGGGGGCATGATGGGGACAATGATTGGGGCGTTGTTGTCCTTCAGTTGTTGCGACAAACATATACTATTCAAACAGCGCGGCAAGCAGCGATCGCATACTTTTGCCAATGCCCATGCGCTTGGGAAAAGGCACATGTTGGATCAGGTCGCAATGTGTGCTTAAACTGTCGTGCAGTTTAGCACGCATGCGGGATCCTGCCAAAAAGGGGAGGAGGAGGGGCTCGATCTTGGCAAACGCTCAAAACCAAGTGCGGGACGGAGGAGGAGGAGGAGGAGGAGGAGGAGGACGACGAGGAGGACGAGGAGGAGGAGGAGGACGAGGAGGAGGAGGAGGAGGACGACGATCCGCCTCCTCCCTCCTCCTCCCTCCTCGGCTCCCCACACTTTCCTACCCCTCTTCTTCCTCCCTCGTTTTTTTCCTGCGCCGTCTCCTCCTCGTCCTCTCTCCTCCTCCTTCTCCTCCTCCTCCTCCTCCTCCTCCTCCTCGTCCTCATCCTCATCCTCCTCATCCTCGTAATCCTCGTGCTCCTCCTTTTCCTCTTCCATCTCCTCCCCCTCCTCCTCCTCCTCTTCCTCCTCCTCCTCCTCGTCCTCCTCCTCCTCCTTGTCCTCCTCCTCCCGCCTCGTCCCCATCCTTTTCCTTCTCCAGCGGTTCTTGTGGGCCTGTTTGGGGGATCTTTCGAAGTGACTTCTTATGAGATTCCCTTGATATGGTCCCCCGTCCCCGTGAGCGATTCAAGTATTTGTGAAACGGTCAGTACCACCGATTCACTGGCATCACATGCCCATCCTGCAAGCGGTGAAACTTGGCGAACAATCGCCTCTCAAAGGTGAGGCGGTGCAGCACCCTCGCGATTGTACAAATAACACGATTCAGACCCTCGTCGAAATACGTGTGGAAGCACCTGGGGTTCCCCTGGTAATGCACATCGAAACTGCAGTGTAAAAAACCGTGGTGGTTTGGCTTAAACTTGACACCACATCGACGGGATTGATTAGTGTGTTCGAGCGCACACTCCTGAAGCCCCAAGCTGGCCTCTGGTGACGGGTTCCTGGGCTCAGTCGCAACAAAAAACAACCACCGATCTAGCGCTCGGCCTGCTTGCAAGAGCGCGTGTGCATCTACGACCTTATTCAGTTTACCTTGGAAATCGCCTACCAACTTCAGGATGTATGGGAACAAATGCCGACTCTCAGACGCTTTCAAGCTGAGGGCGGGGTTCGCCCGAGTGCCGATCATTGTAGGTTTGAGGCTACCGATTTCCGTGACAGACTTGCTGGCTTCTTCTCCGATTGTCCAGGGGGGGGGGGTACACAGAGGTCAGACTTACAATGGAAACGCTGTGCTAGCAAACATGAGGCTCATCTCATCATCTTTATTCGTACCGTTTCTATCGTAGTGTTTCCTCCTTTCGTTTGTTTCTCATCGTGTCTTCCTATCCGCACCCCCTTTTGCCTCCCCCCTCCCCAGTCGCGCCTCTCCTCTCTCGCTCTTCTCATCGTTCTCACATTGATGTTGGATCCTGCTCATCCCTGCTCCTATCATGCCCGTACCCCTCCCCTGCCTCTACTCATACTCCTCCTCCACCTGTTTTGCTTGCACAGCGTTTGCATGGATCATCAGAAGAACGGCGCGGGACGCCTGAATGCCAAGGACCAGGACGGACAACAAAAAAAACATGCCAGGAACAAACCAGTTCATACTTAGGATCGGAGTCTTCGGAATCTACCCCCCTGCCGTCCTTCTGTACTCAGGGTACCATCGATGAACACCAGCTGTGATCTCCTTCAGGGTATCTCTGATCTGCTCCGCCTGCCGCGACAGGCACACGTCGAACACGTCCGCGTCCACCATGGCCCATAGTGCGCAAAGGACCCAATCCTGAAGCATGCCGAGATGGACTGTGTGCATGAGATCGATTCGAAAAGTTTCCAACCCTATCCCCAAACGGGGGCAGATGAGTGGATGTCTCCTGTGAGCCATTGGCTCGCCGTTCGGCCTCCAGAACATCACCATGGCAGGGAAATTCTTGATGGAGAAAAACGCTTGTATATCTGGCATCGATTCTGTCGGCTCCAATCGATCTCCAGCGCAGAGCAATACCAAACCAATCTGCACACTTTGCGTTAACACAGTTCCTCGTTTCTTATGATGTGATTCGAGCGACAGTCTGATCTCGCAGTGCGCATGCTTATCAGGAATCGAAACCCAGACCTCACAACCAGCACAAAAATCAAGATACTCGTCCGTGGTTTTGATTTTCCACTTCCATGGTTCTGTAGAATTCATCAGTGTCTGGGGTATGTGGCATTTGAAACATGGATGGCGGTTGCTGTTCCATTGCGGGAGCCCCCACCGATGAACGATCTCACTCCAATCTCCGAGAATATCCAACACGATAGCTTTGAATCCAAACGATTGTCCAGCACGTTTAGCTCTCTGATCGTCTCCCTCCCTGAACGGGGTGCCGTCGTGACGTCGCGTTGGCCACTCTCCTTTGATCAGGGCTTGCAGTGACCATCTAACCATGCAGAAAAACGTGAACAACGTGTCCCAGCCCCCGCAACCGCACGGGCAGAAATCCTGCTTGCGAACAGCGAAGGCCAAATGCCGAAACGAACTGTTAATGAAATGCACGGTGAACGCCAACACTGAATCTCTCTTTTGGAACTCTGACGCGTCAAGGTATATACATATCGGAATAATGTGGGCCCTGTCTGCAGCGGGGGATTCGACCACTAGAGGATGGCGCTCGTAGCATTCAACCCACCTTTGCTTGCTAATTTCATCGGCCCATGATCTCAAGATCTCTGGATGTTCTGCCAACTCGTCGACCAGACGCTCGTGTGGGGGATTGACAGCTACCCGCACGCTCTCGACACAAGCACTGCTCCGCACAAGAAGAGGAGCTTCAAGATAATACAAGGACGAGTCGTCTTTCTCACAACCCAATGCTTTGTCCAACTTGCGTTGGAAGTGACCGCTCGAGCTGTTTGGCGACAGCTCGTACGGCCTGGCCTCCCGAATTCCTGCATGAGACGCGTGCCAACAGAGCGTGCACACTTTCTTCGCGCTGAGATCACCAGCAAGATAATATTCAATCAAGTCATCAACGAGCATCTGACCGTGTGACACTGGTGGCTCGATCGGGCCGCCATCCGCATCACTGGTATCCCAAACTGTCGAACTAGTGTGTGGTACGTCCCAATCGTCGTGTGATCGCTTCATTATCGCACTGAGCCAAAATGGGCTACACGGAGGGATGAGGACGGACGCATCAGGGGGAGGAGCACGGACGAACACGATATCGAATTTACGAGGGCGGTACCGAGACGGACGAGATGAGGACGCTTCCATGACAACGTGCTTTCGAGGCGAAGGCTTACGAGACGAGCACGAGGCGGTGGTTGCGTGGAGGGCGGGGTCACGATAGTGGACGTCCTCGGGTTCTGGGTCTTTCGCCTCAGCAGTTGGCCAGGGTCTTTGAACCAAGCTAAAGGCCCTGGGACTTCGTGGCCTGGGGTCAAGGGCATCAGAACGTACACACGAGACAGCCTTGGGAGGGGGGGGGTGCCGCCTATCTTTTACCTTTCTTGATCCTCCTCATTCTCATCCTCTTCCTCCTCCTCATCCTCCTCATCCTCCTCATCGTGATCCTGATCCTCCTCCTCCTCCTCCTCCTCCTCCTCCTCCTCCTCCTCCACCTTCCCTCCCTCCATCCCTTCCTCCCTCCCTCTCCCTCCCTCCTCCCTATCCCTCCTCCCTCCTCCCTTCTCTCACTCTTCAGACTCCGACAGCAAAAAAACTGAGCATATCTCAGAAGTATCCTCCTCTACATTCTCCTCATGTTCTGTCCTTCTCATTCCTGAAGCTGGACTTGTCCACGACGTGCCTATCACATTGAGTCCTTAGGTCAAGGACGAGATGCATGATGTATACCCTAAGCCCTTCTAAGTTGGAGAAAAACGCCGCTTGCGTTGGTGTGTGTGTGTGGGCGTGTGTGTGTGTGTGTGTGTGTGTGTGTGTTTGTGTGTGTGTGTGTGTGCGTGTGCGTGTTTGTGTGTGCGTGTGTGTGTGTGTGCGTGTGTGTGTGTTTGTGTGCGTGCGTGGGTGCGTGTGTGTGTGTGTGCGTGCGTGCGTGCGTGCGTGCGTGCGTGCGTGCGTGGGTGCGTGTGCGTGTGTGTGTGTGTGTGTGCGTGTGTGCGGGGCAACAGACACTGGCATGTTGCAAATCAACAGTCGCATTTAGCCTTCGACAGGGAGCGGAGCTTCGAAACGGGCTCATGCCGTGGCACGCCTGCGGCACGAAGTCAGGACGCAATTGATCCTGACCCTGGTTCCAAGCACAGGAGTAGGAGCACAAGTAAGAGGAGTAGGGGGCAGGAACAGGGGGTTTATGTTTTACGCGTAACTCGTATTTCGCTGACGCCAAGTTTGGACTTGGATCGCAAGACCCCTCATGAGGGCAACAGGTGGAGGAGGCGGATGGCGTGGGCAAGACCCTTCATGAGGGCAACAGGTGGAGGAGGAGGAGGAGGAGGAGGAGGAAAATGATGATGAGGAGGAGGAGGAAGAGGAGGACTGCCAGGAATTCTGACTCCATGCGTTCGTCTGAATGGCAAGCTGCCCCGAAGCATCGGAGCTCGCACGATCGAGCTCCACCCACATGCCAGCTTGCTGAAGATTCGCGCGCACCTCCGCTGATTTCCAAGGTTTTTTCTGGAAAATCGCATTCGGAAAAAGCATCTCCGAAACTCATCGAGATTCACCGGTAGACTCATCGGTGAGTTTCGGGGTCCTGCCAAACTCATCGGGTGAAACTCACCGCTGGTGTTTGCGAATGTATCGAGGAATGGCTGTCTCCCACCCCGAACTCACCGATGAGTTTCCCGAAACTCACCGCGGTGAGTTTCCGAAACTCATCGCGAAACTCACCGGTAGGTTTTCGGAGGTTTTCGTGAAAAAATCTGAAATCCTGAAGGAAATCTGTCGTGCGGAGGTGTGCTAGCCTTAAAACCTCGAGCGAGCTGCGTCCGCTCGTCAACTCAGTCTCGGCCTGTTCGCGTGCATCGTGTTCAGCCCGTCGGCCTCCGTGGCCAGCTTCTGGAGCAGCGGGCTCATGGTAGTGCGCATGGAAGTGGCCTCGGCAACGTACTGCTTCTTGCCCAGGTCCTTCTTGACCTTCGCAATGGTCTTGCCGAAGAGGAGGCTCTTAAGGATGCCAGGTGCAGAGGTCTTGCTCGTGTCGTAGCTCTTCTGCAAGTTGGTCGCCAAGGGGCTATCCTTCTGGAGCCACTTCCACTCCTCGTCATTCTTGTTAATCACTTCAATGATGGAGGATGCTTTCGACGTGGCAGTGCGGTACATGTCGAGGATATCCTTGCAGTCCTTGTCGGCCTGTTGAAGCTGCACCTTGCTCACGTCCTCGGGATTTGAGTTCTCGATTGGCGGCTCAGGTGCACTGGTCGTGTCCTTGCTCTTCCCCTTGTCCTTGCGGGGCTTCTTCGGAGGCGGCCCTTCCCCCCCGCCGCCGCCGCCCGCGGGCTTCATCGGCGAGCCGTCGGACTCGAGGTCCTGCTTGACCTGCCAGGCCTTCTCCAGCTTCTCGGTGAAGCCTTCCTCGGCGTGGGCGAACCTCCACACCTTGCCCGAGGGGTCCCACTTGATGAAGGGGGGCCCTAACTTCACGCACGTCTTGGCGATGTTGAGCGCCACCTGCTGGTCCTTCTCCTTGTCGGCAATCTGAGCCAAGCTCCGCATGTGCGTGTGCTGCCAGTCGATTTCCGAGGACACTTGTTTCTGGGATACTTTTTCGTTGAGCACCTGAACTTTCTTCTTGGCCCAGTCCTCCCTAAAAGCTGCTTTCGAGGTCCGACCTTGGCATGCGGAGTATCGATTCTGCAGGTCTTCATCTTCGTCGAGGGCTCTGCAGAACTGAGAATACTCTGGCGTCCGTGCTGGGACCCCGTTCTTGATCGATGCCTCCAACCCCTGGATGAGCTTCGAGATCGCCTGCGTCGCCTTGGTCGCCTCCGCCGCCTCCCTGCAGATCTCAGTGCTCAGGCTCTCCAGCGAGCCGAGCGACTCCTCAAGCTCCATGTCCATGGCTGGTGTCTCATGCTGCTGGTCGAGGGTGTCGCCGCTGTCGCCGTTGGCGATGGGGGGGCCAGCGGGCTGAGTCGCCTGCTCCTCGGACGCCACCGCGCTCGGCGGCTGCGAGCCTGCGCCGTGAACAGCAAGAGCAGCGGCATCGACCATACTCTGCAGCTGGCTGGCGGTCGGAGGCGGCAAGGCATCAGGTAGCGTCGCATCGCTGAAGGTCGGAGGCGGCAAGGCATCAGGTAGCGTCGCCTCGCTGAAGGTCGGGCGCGGCAAGGCATCAGGTAGCGTCGCCTCGTCCTGCGTGCCGATCGCGGGGGCAGGCGCAGCGTCCTGGGGAGGGGGGGGGGCGACTATCGCTCTCATTACCCCAGGGCCCAGAGGAGGAGGAGGGGGAGAAGGAGGAGGAGGAGGAGGAGGAGGAGGAGGAGGAGGAGGAGGAAGAGGATGAGAGGGAACGGATCTCGAGCGTGAAGGAGCGGACGAGGGGAGGATGATGAGGAGGTGGTGGAGGAGGATGAGGAGGAGGGGGAGGTTCGATGATGGCAGGATGCAGAACGGAGCGGAGGAGCGGAGCGGAGGAGCGGAGCGGAGGATGCAGAGAGGGGCCAGGGGGGAGGACGACTAGGAAAGGGCGAGAGTGTCGGTATACTCTTTCATGGCCACAGCTCCTGTCCAAGAGGTGGAGCCTGACTCTGTGCAAGCGGCGGAGCGTCGTCTGCACGAGGGGGCGCAGCGGTAACTCCAGGCTGAAACTGTGGGGCTGTGTCTATCTGGGTCTGGGTTGCTGGCTCGTCGTGCGTGTCCACTTCGATCACGTACTTCGGCCCATCAGGGCCCAGTCGGAATGCCTGGCCTCTGAAGGGGACCCACGTGTCCATGCGGGTTCAAGCCAGGTGCAATGGATGGGTGGTCGACCGAATCCGATGCCTGCAAAACCTGAGACGGCTGCGGCTGAAGCAGAAGCACGTGAGCAACAAGCATGCAAAACAAACTGTTCAACTCCACCTATCCTGGGGGAAACTTCGGAGGGAACCAGCTACTATATATCGTTTGAATAGTGTTCCTACCTGATAGTGTCCTACCTCATAGGGCCCTACCTGAGCGGGTCTTCTGAGCGAGCTGCGGGCTGAACTACTTGTGTACTATCTACCTCATCGCTCGCAGAACCCGTCGTGACCTTCGCGGGGGCCTGGGGAGGTGGAAGAGGAGGGCTGAGTAGGAGGAGGAGGAGGAGGAGTAGAAGGTGCTGATGAGAACAACTGGGGTGGATGAAGGGGCGGAGGGGATCGAGAGGATACATGAGTTCCGTTTCGACCTTCGTCACAGCCGCCGCACGCACGATGCGAATTGGAACGTCCAAACGCTGGCAAGCAGTAATTACATGCAGTGCGAATCGCTCAAACAAAACACCACTTCTATGGAAGCCCCCTCCCCGATAAACACTGATGCTTACATGTGTGGATATGTCAGATTAGGGGTGGTTCCAGTAGTGGGGGCGCTGACGGGCAATCGGGCATCGATGCATTCCTAAAGGCGTGATGCGTGCAAGAGATCATATATCGCATATAGCGTTCACACTTGCAACATGCAACACACTCAAAACAGTTTCAAAGAGGCCGCCTTAGTTGCAGCCTTGAGCTCATCCGTATCCTGAAACTTACCAGCACACAGCTTACGAGCCATCGCGATAGCTAAGTCAGTGCACTGCTTGGCCAGTTCCTCAGTCCTAAGCGGTACAGATGCCTTCGTGCTGCCGTCCACGTAGATGCGCGCCAACTTGCCAGTCTTGTTGACGCCGTTGATCCGTTCTGTTGTGATTTTCACCGTCACTTCATTGGACCCCCACTGGCCACATAATAGTTTTCCCCTGGAGTTGCCCGCAGCAGCTGGACGTTGTTTGACGGCATCATTCTTCTTCTTCTTGAGGCTCTCGATTTTGGCCATCGTGAAATTGTCGATGACGACCTCGGCCTCGCCAAAGACTCCAACAAGATTTCCGTCCCCGTCTGAATGTATATCGTTGGTGAATTGCTTCGATTGTCCGAGAACCTGGATCCAAGCACCTCGGACTTTGTCGTAGCCAGTCTTGACGGTGGGACTGTGGCTCGACTGGCCGCCACCGAGTGCCTGCGCCCACAGATCACTGCGAAATGTAGACGGCATGCCGAGACCCGAAAACCTCGAAGCTGTTGAGACCGCCGATGCCACCGCCGTTGGCCTCTTCAAGGTAGCAGTCGCAGCTGGCTTGCCTCGACTGGGAAACCAATCACATAAGCGGGGCCTGGGGTGACAATGAGAAGGACGAGAAGGGGAGGTGTTATGTCTTAATCTGTTGATTGCCCAATCACGTGACACGTGATCACCAGCGCCGTCATCCCCCGCATCTGGTTCCTCCTCGTCTTGTTCCTGGTCGGCCTCCTCAGCTTCCTCCTCCTCTTCCTCCTCTTCCTCCTCCTCTTCCTCCTCCTCTTCCTCCTCGTTGTTTTCTTCGCCTGCTTCCTCTTCCTTCCCTTCCTCCTCTTCCTCCTCTTCTTCGTCTTCTTGTGCTTGGTCCTCCTCTTTGCCTCCATGATCCTCAGCTGCCTCCTTGCCGTTGTGCTTCTTCGCTGGTTTTTTTTGGACGGTGTCATTTTTGTCGAAGTCCCCTCTGATGCAGCTGGCCGTTTTCTGGTGATGCCCATTGCTTTGGAGATCTCGTCGGCCCACTTCGGGGGTTTGGTCGCTGCTGCTGCTCGTTTGTAGTGACACAATATCGTACGAAGCCTTCTCGCTAAGGTGGGCGCGGCAGTCTCCTTCGTGGTAACCTCATCTATGTCGAAAACCTTGACCCTGTAGACTTCAATGAAAGCTTCTTGTGCCAATGTCTGTGAGATGCGCGCCGACGGCAAGTCGGACGAGTACTTCGCCGCTGCAGCTATCAGGCTGGTGTACTTCTTCAAAGAATCGACGTCCACAGGTGTTTTTTTCATTCCATCCCCGTATTGTATAAAGCCAGGACTGTGCGCAAATGGAAGTAGAATTGCTGCCAACGCCTTGGGATCCCCGCCGCCCACATCATCATCAGCCTCATCGCTGCTCATAGTCTGAACAAGTACGTACCGCGAGAACTCTCAATCCCTGCCCTGGTGACCCCCCCAACCCGCCCAATCGCAAGAGGAATGCATCAAGCAATTCTGCAAACATCGTGTCCTGGAAGATTTCGGCATCCGAAACGCACCACAGGCGGGCTAAGGGGTGTCATTCGGGGCTGGGGTTGAAAATTGAACGCGGCGGAATTGGATTGGGAAATCAAGCGCCCGAACCTGCTCCAAATGGCTATGGGTAGGCTAAGCACGATTCGACGAACCATTCGGACGCATAAGAAGTGGAGCCGATGCTCCTCGAAATAATCCAACACAGCTTCTCAGAGGAATGTTCCAGAAAATACAGTCGCAACTCAAGATCTACCGACCCAACGGTGATGGCAAATGCAAGATCTGCTGTAACCCTTCAGCAAAGGCGTTCAACGCGTGTGTGTGTGTGTTTGTGTGTGTGTTTGTGTGTGTGTGTGTGTGCGAACGTGTGTGTCTGTGTGTGTGAAGTAAATTGTGTGCGTGTGACATGAAAATGTGAACAACTATGGGCGTCGTGTGATTTTATTGTGTATTTTTCTATACATATGTATGATATCACTTCATATCGCTGCAAAACGCAATGAACCCTGATTAAGTCCAACAAATGGACTTGAGCAACATGATAGAACTCACGTCCAAATTTTGGACGCGAGGGACCTCTGGGGAGAGGGAGCTGCTGCCGCTGGAGCCCGCCGTTCGTGAGGCGGTCTCCGACGTCGCGGCAGCGCAGTTCGAGCAGTTCAGGCGTTTGCGGGAGGTTTATCTTCAGCATCGGGCTCGAGCCGGCCGACGCAGGGCGGAGCTGGCCAATCGCGCGAGATCGTCGAGACGCCCGGAGGTCGGGGACATGGTTTTGTTCAAGGACCCGAAGCTCTCCAAGGCCGTGGCCGGGCACGCTCCAGGCCGCCGGCCTCTGCGTGGCCCCTTCGAGGTCCTCTCCACGAAGGGCAACGTGGCCACGTTGCGGGACCCCGAGACCCAGCAGGTGCTCAAGGACGTCCACGGGGATTTCTTGGTCGGCGTCCCGGGCTTGGTTGACGACACGGAGCGCATCGTGAAGTTGGAGGAGGACGACGGCCGTGGCAGGGCCTCTGCCGGACAGCTTCTGGCAGCGCGGCTGGCCCCTGGAGGCGGCGAGGCCGCCGAGGCGCTGGCGCCGCGCGTGAAGGCGCGGATGCGAGAGGTGAAGGTCGGGCGGCTTGTCGCCTACCAGGGCGAGGAGGCGAAGCGCTGCAGGGTGGGCAAGGTGCTGAGCCTGGCCGAGGACCTGAGCAGCGTGACGGTGCACGTGTACCAGGCGGCGGTCGACGGACGGCTGCAGGTGGTCTGGACAGCGGCGTACGACCGCCAGGAGGGCGCGGACTTCCAGCGGCAGAGAGTCGAGACACTGGAGGCGAAGCAGGTGCTGGGTGTCGTGGAGCTCAACAAGGGCGTGCTGAACCACTCGGCAGCGAGCAGGCTGGCGCGGGCCGGCTGGCGGCTGGACGAGGGGGCCGTGCGTCACGGCGCCTTGGCGGCGGCGGCAGTAACGCCGGCCGCGCCACGGCTCTCCGACCTCCCCTCGAGCCGCGTCATCGCGCTCGTCGCAGCTTGCCGCCCGCTCGAGGAGCTCGACCTGAAGATCGGCGAGGTCCAGGCGTGGGCGCACGGCGCTCCCCTCTTCGTGGAGATCTTCGACGGGGTCGGGAGGCTCTCGCAGGCGGTCCGGAGCTTAGGCGCGGCCAACGCGGTGTGCAGCGTGGTGGCCGGCATCGACCTCAAGCGCAGGACGTACGGGCAGTACTGGGACCTCAGCAGGGCTAAGGACCGTGCCCGGCTGCGCTACCTGCTCTTCGAGGTGCTGAGGCCGGCAGGAGCCCACTGGGCGCTCCCTTGTGCTAAGTGGAGCAGCCTCGGGGGCCACCAGCCCGACGCCAACGCGCACGCGCTAGCCTCCTTCACCATGGACGGCCTCGAGCACTTCGACGGCGCGGGCTGCCTGGCCTCCTTCGAGGGCCCGCGAGCGCACGCGCTGGTGGCGAGCGTGGAGTGGCAGCAACGGTTCGGGTCAGCCGAGGCGCCGCGCGGGCGCTGGCGTTACGTGCTCCCCGACGGCTGCATGTTCCACTGCAGGAGCCCGGATGAGGAGCCCCTGGCCATGCAGAAGCCGTGCGTCATCGTGGGCAACTTCCCGCTGGACTTGCTGGACGTCCAGTGCCGCCGTGGAGCGCTGCGGCCGCTAGGGCGCGGCCTCGAAGGCGTCGGGGTCGCCTCCGCGGAGCTGGGCAGCGTCGCCGGGAGCTCCATGATCGGGGCCGCGCGGGCGCTGGAGGGGCCCCGCATGCCCTGCGAGCCGGGACGCGCGGCCGCTCCGGCTGCTGGGGCGACGAGGTCGGTGGACAAGCTGAGCGACGCCGAGATGGCGGAAAAGAAGGCACGGCGGGAGCCGGCGGCGGCGGCGGCGAAGAAGAAGTGGGCCGAGCTGGCCAAGAAGGGTGACTGGGACCAGGTGCGGATGCCCGGCAAATGCTTCAGGTTTGCCGAGGTGAAGGTTTCGCCGAGGCGCTCTGCGGAGTACAAGGCCAAGGTTCTGGAGGCGGTCGGGCTCGTCGGCGAGTGCGCGGGCTACAAGCACCTGGGCAGCCAGGAGCTGGAGGCGCTGAAGGAGATGATCAGCCTGAAGGCCGAGGCGTTCTGGGTGAAGGGCACCGCGCGAACGGTCATGCGCGGCTTCAAGCACGACGTGGTGACGACCGGCTTGCTTGTGCGTGGGCCGCCGATCCGCCTGAAGGGCCCCGAGGCTTCCATCGTCCGCGAGGAGCTCGAGGCGGGCGTGGAACAAGGACTGTACTCCAGGGGGACCTCGCCCTGGGGCAGCTGGGCCTTTCCGACCAAGGAGCACGCGAGCGGCCGGAGGCGTCGGACCGTCGTGGACTACCGCATGGTCAACCGCAGGATGGTGATGTTCGTGTACTACATCCGCCGGTGCCGAGACGTCAAGGGCGAGCTGGTGGGCTGCGCCTTCATCTCCGGCATGGACGGCGCTCGCGGCTTCAACCTCCTGGTCAACACTGAGCACGCGAAGGAGGTCCTGGCTGTGCTGGCGGACTGCGGCTGCTACCTCCCCGAGGTGCTGCAGCTGGGGCCAGCGACGGGGCCCTTCGACTTCCAGTTCTGCACCGACGAGCTGTTCACCGGCACCGGCCGCGGACGCTACGGTTCGGTTTGGAAGAACTACATCGACGACTTCTGGGTCAGGACGGGGCAGTGGCTGAACGGTCGCGCCTACACCGACCGAGAGCACGAGGAGATGCTGGCAGCGGCATCCCCCCCCCCGGCTGCCTCTCGCCCGCTGGGCGACTCGCTGGCAGCAGCCGGGTTCGCGGGGACTCGCAAGGCCAGCCAGAGCTACGACCACGCCAAGGGCGTGCTCGTGGGGCTGTGCGTGGCGCAGTCGGCCACGGGAGCGGCGGCCATGGACGGCGGCGGGGTTGCCTTGGCGAACGGCCTCCGCATGCTGGTGGTGGCTGCCGCGGTGCGCACGGCATCCTTGATGGATGAAGGGCTGCGCGCGGGCGTGCAGCTGACGCAGGACATCTTCGAGGCGGCCGGCGACCTGGTCCAGAGCGTCTCCTGGAACCTCAGCGGCCTCATCCACGAGGTGTGCGAGGGTGCGGTCCTGGTGGTGCGCGTCCTGGTCGTCGTGCAGTGCTGCTACGCTCTCTACTGCCTGCGCTCGTGGGTGGCTTGCCGTTCGCAGCGGGCGGCGCTGGAGCGGGCCGCCACCGCCGGCGAGGCGGCTCAGCGCGGACTCACGTCCAGCGCGCGAGCCTGCGAGGCCGGCGACGGGCCCGCCTTCGGCCGCGAGCCGATGGCCAGGGCGGCAGCCGCTGGGAGGAGCCCGGGCGGGGCCCTCTCATCAGCAGATGGCGCCGCCAGCCCTGTGGTGGCGCTGTGGCGCGAGGCGGAGTTCGAGACGCCCCTGCTCGGAGCGGCGGCACGCCCCCGAGCGGAGGTCCTCCAGATCCAGCGGAGCGCGGCGGTGGCGCTGCGGGACCTGGAGCACTCGGACCGCCAGCGCGCCGCGCGCGCGCGCGACCTGGCCGCTTGCGGTGCGGTGGTGTCCGCAAAGCTGGTGGAGGCTGCGCGCAGCTCAGCAGTGAAGGACGCGGGCGACCTGTGCGAGTTCGAGGTAGAGGTGGCCGGCAGCCGCGGCGTGCGGTATGATGTGCGGCTTCGCGCTGGACGCTCGGCCGCAGCGTTGCTCCCCGCGTCGTGCACCTGTGCCGACTTCGTCGGCGGCGTCGGCAGCCCCTGCAAGCACATCGGGGCGGCCTGGTGCTGCGCGGTGGACGGCAACTTCAGCGAGCTGGTGGAGCTGGCGCTCGCGGCTGGCCGCAAGGAGGGAGCTGCCACTGGGCCTCAGCGACGCGCGGCCCTGGCGCCGAGCGACTCCCTTGGCCTCGCGGGGGCCGTGCGGGAGCTCCGCGACTCGGAGGCCGAGGTCGTGCGCCTGCGCGAGGAGGTCCAGCAGCTGCAGGCGCAGCTGGGGGCGACCTCCAGGCGCGAAGCCGTGACCGAGTTTCTCTCGGCGTCGGAGACGCTGGCGGCTTGGGCGCGGGCTTGCGGTGAGGCCGAGAGCTATGTGTATGTGGCGTGCTTCACCTTCGACCAGCCGGGCGTGGTGAACTACCTGGAGGCGGCTCGAGCTCGAGGCCTCACAGTCCGTCTGGTGTTCAGCGGCCGTGACAAGGCCTTGACCAACAACCAGGGGCCGCGCCTGCAGCGGCTCCGAGCCTGTGGGTGCGAGGTGCGCGCTCACAAGGGCTCGCGGCTGCACGCCAAGGTGATGATGACAGAGCGCGAGATCGTGCTGGGCAGCTGCAACTTCACGACTGCCAGCCTGGGCAACGTGGAACGCGGGGCCAGCCTGCAGGAGCTATCCGAGGAGACGGTGCTCGAGCAGAAGGAGTGGTTCGAGCAGCTGTTCGAGGCGGCGGCGCCCTTCAAGGACGGGATCGGCGAGGTAGTTCCTCCGTCGCCGGCCCGGCGGGGGCGCCGAGGCGCGAGGCGCCGGAGGCCGGCTGGCGCGAGGCCGAGCGGCCGTGGCGCCGAGGCGTGATGCGCTGGAGGCCCGCCGGGCGAGAGGCTCAGCGGCCGCGGCGCGGGGCGCTGGAGGCCATCTGGGCGAGAGGCCCAGCGGCCGTGGCGCCGAGATGGCAGGAGCGCGGCATTTTGCTGCGCCGTCGACGTCCGGCAGCGCCGGGAGCTATGAGCGACTGCATGGCGCCGAGTTCGGCGACTTCGAGGAATTCATCGACTTCATTTTTGTGGAGCGGCACGTCGTGGAGGACGTGCCGGGGCGCCTGTGCCGCGGAGTGGTGCCCTGCTCGAGGAGAGGGGCACGTGAGGAGCGGCATGGGCTCACAGGCGGCGGAGTGCGGGCCGGCGACGACGGCCCCGGCGACGGCGGCTGCTTGCCCCGCGCCGCCGCGTGGCTCAAGAGGAGAAAGGCCCCCCTCCTCCCTCTCCTCAGAAGCGCGGGGGAGGCGCGGGGGGGCCCGCCCGGGGTCCGAGGGCCCGCAAGGGCCCGGCGGGCCCGAGGGCGGCTCGAGGAGGCCGCTCTCGAGGCCCAGGGGGGCCGAGGCTCCAGGTGAGCCTCATACCACTACTACTACTACTACTACTACTACTACTACTACTACTACTACTACTACTACTACTACTACTACTACTACTACTACTACTACTACTACTTCTACTACTTCTACCTCTACTACTACTACTACTACAACTACTACTACTACGACGACTACTACTACTACTACTACTACTACTACTACTACTACTACTACTACTACTACTACTACTACTACTACTACTACTACTACTACTACGACTACGCCACTACTACGACTACAACTTCTACTACTACTAGGACCTACTACTACTACTACCACTACCACCACTACTACTACTATTACTACTACTACTACTACTACTACTACTACTACTACTACTACTACTACTACTACTACTACTACTACTACTACTACTACTACTACTACTACTACTACTCTACTACTACTACTACTACTACTACTACTACTACTACTACTACTACTACTACTACTACTACGACTACGACTACGACTACGACTACTACTACTCCTCCTCCTCCTCCTCCTCCTCTACTCCTACTACTACTACTACTACTACTCCTACTACTACTACTACTACTTGCGAGAGTGTCCTCAGTCCTCGTAGCTTGCGGGAGGTCCTCAGTGGGGGGAGGGAGAGGGAGCGAGGGGGGAGGACGGGGGGAGGGAGGGGGGAGGACGGGGGGGCGCGGAGTTTTATTCCCCGGAGAGAGAACCAGGGGGGGGGGCCCTTTTCTAAAGACCCTACCGGGTTAGCCGTATCGGTACTTTCTGGCATCCCAAGGTTTGCCAGCGGCCTTCAACGCTGAACGCCAGCGGCGGGGTCGCCGCTGGACGACCCGATGCGAGCCAACAGCAGGTTCGATTTGGGGGTCAATCAAAGTGCCTCTGGCCCAAGGTGTCCCCAGCTTTTCGCTCCACGCTGGAGCCCCTCGGGCCCCCCGAGCCTCGTGCAAGGGGTGCTCTGAAGGCCGTGGGGGCCCCCTCGACTCGGAGATTCTGGGGGCACCTCGGGCCAAGGGCACTTCGAGCGACACCTGGGGCAGACGGGCATGGGCGAGGCGGGCTGTAGGGCGCTGGCGGCCAAGATGGGGTCGACGCAAATGAGGCAAGAGGGTCGCACCGCATCACCGATGTATCGCATCGCCGACGCATCGCCGAGGCGGCTCGATGTGGAGCCCATTGTTGTTCGACGCCGACGTGGCCGGTGCATCGCCGCGTCGCGGCATCGCCGCGTCGCGGTATGCATCACCGATGCATCGGGGATGCGGTGCGATCTCCCGACCCCATCCCGCCGACCCCGGTAGGGAGGCCCGCGACCCCCCCCAGAGGGCCAGGAGTGCAGAGGCGGGGTCTTCCCGCGGCAGTGTGATGGATGTCTTCCGTCTGGGCACTGGCCCCTGGAGTTCGGCCTCGGGGGCCCGTGCCCGGGCCAGGGGGCCCTCCAGAACGGATCCAGGACGGAGGATTACACGCGCCGGTCGTTGAAAGTAGGTATTTCTGGATTCCCAGATCCCAATCTACCTCGAGCGCCTTCCTGCTTCGAGAATCGGCATGTTTTTGCTGTGTTGTTATTCCCTGGGGGGACCTGGACCCAATCCACTACAGCCGCCTTCCTACTTCATGCTTCTACCGACTTTTTCCGACCGACGTGTACCTGGAGCTCGGAGGGCGTGGACTGAACACACAGACGTTGGGGGAAGTCTGGGGGTGGGCCTCCCGTGTCGCTGCGCAGTTGGCACCCCCGCGAAAGATCGCGTGTTTTTTTTCTGTTGGCCCACGTCGGGGCCCTGCCCCCGCTGGGCCAACCAACGGCCAATCAGAATGGCGACCGTTGCGCACTTGGCAGCCCCACGAGGGAGCGCGGCGTCTCGCCTGGGCCCCCGCGTGGATCCCGCTGCGGCGTCCCTCTGGCTTCTGGCCGGCAGCCCCGGCGCCCCCCGGCCAGGACCGGAGCCGCAGCCGCAGTCGCGGCCGCAGCCGCAGCGGCAGCGGGGACCGCGACCAGAGGAAGAAGCCGGAGGAGCGCGCGGGCGTGGCGCGCGCGCCCCCCACAGCCAGGCGCGGAGGTGGGGAGGGGAGGAGGGGGGTGGAGGGGGAAGGGAGGGAGGGGAGGGACGGGAGGGAAGGGGAGGAAGGGAGGGGAGGGAAAAGGAGGAGGAGAATGGAGGAGGAGGAGGAGGGGAGGAGGAGGAGGAGAGGAGGAGGAGGAGGAGGAGGAGGAGAGGAGGAGGAAGATGAGGAGGTGGAGGAGAAGGAGGTGGAGGAGGAGGAGGAGTGGGGGTTCGAGTTTGATTGTATATGGGTTAGGGGTCAGAGGCTTCAGAACCATCAGATATATACATATAACGGCGCACCGGGTCCGGGGGCCCGGGGCCGGGACCCCGACCACAAATGTGGGCCCCGGGGGGCCCCGGAGGCTCGTCGGACCGCCGGACGCCGTCCAAGATCGTTCGCAGGCGGCTTCGGAACGCGCTCCGATGGCTCCAGATGTCTTCCAAGACGCCTGTCATGACACCAAGAAGGTCCCAGAAGCCTCCAAGACGCTCCGAGAGGCAGCCCAAGAGAGACCCAAGAAGCAAAAATCGTGCCATTCCTATGGGAAAACGTATATTTTTCGCATGTTCGCCTCTTGGGCTTTCACCGCGTCCAAGACGGCCCAAGAGGCGCCCAAGACCGCCCCAAGACGGCCCAAGAAGCTTCCAAGAGGGCCCCAGGACAGCCCAAGAGGGCCCCAAGACGGCCCAAGAGGCGCCCAAGATGGCCCAAGAGGGCCCCAAGACGGGCCCAAGAGGGGGCCCAGAGGGGGACCACGAACCGCAAGCTCGAGCCTTCCGCCCCAAGAGGCCGCCAGGAGGCCCCAAGGAGGCCCCTCAAGAGGCCCCAGGAGACCCCCAAGAGGCCCAAAGGAGGCCCCGAGAAGCCCCAAATCGGCCCCAAAATGCTTCGAACCTGCTTCCAGGAGGCCCCCGACAGGTTCAGAGGCTCCCGAGAAGCTACGTCAAACTCCCAGCGAGCGGCCGGACGAGGCCCCCCACAAAATCACAAGAGGGTTCCAGTATTTGTATCCTTCAGCGCTCTCTGGCCTTCTTCCCCCTGCCCCCTTCCCTGCGACTTTCGTTGACTCAAGCTCGCCTCCTAGCTAGAACCTAAGCGCGCGCGAAGCGCGCGCGTGGTTCTAGTATATATATATATATACATGAGTATATATGTATATATATATGTATACACATGTATGTGCAGGATGTGTTTGAATGTGTATTCGACGCTCCGATAACAATGATGGCTCAAGCCATCTGGTTCGAAAGCGTATGCTGGAAAACTAATTTAGGTAGGGCGGATGAGGTGGCAGGTCCTTTTAGACTCGCCGTCTCTCTGCCCTCAGCTTCGCCGTTCAGGTTCAGAGGTGGAGGTAGAGGAGGAGGAGGCGGAGGCGGAGGCGGAGGCGGAGGAGGAGGAGGAGGAGGAGGAGGAGGAAGGAGGAAGGAGGAGGCGGAGGCGGAGGCGGAGGCGGAGGCGGAGGCGGAGGCGGAGGCGAAGGAGGAGGAGGAGGCGGAGGTTAAGGCGGAGGAGGAGGAGGAGGTGGCGGAGGGAGGAGGGAGGAGGGAGGAGGGATACCAGTAATAATAGCAGCATTAATGATAAGACTAACTAAGATAATAATACTCATAAGAATATTAATAATAATAATACGACTCATACTACTACTACTACTACTACTACTACTACTACTACTACTACTACTACTACTACTACTACTACTACTACTACTACTACTACTACTACTACTACTACTACTACTACTACTACTACTACTTACTACTACTACGACTACTACTACTACTACTACTAATAATAATAATACTAAAACTAGTAATAGTAGTAAAACATAATAATGATAATGCTACTAAAATAATATTAATAATAATAACAACAACAACACTAATATTAATAATAATACTATTAATGGTAGTAATATTAATAATCATCAGACTACTAATAATCATAATACTCATATCCATAATAAACATAATCATAATCATAACAAGAATATAGAGGATGAGCATGAGGAGGAGGAGAGGAGGAGGAGGAGGAAGAGAAGGAGGAGGAGGAGCAGGAACAGGAGCAGGAGCAGGAGCAGGAGCAGCAGCAGGAGCAGGAGAAGGAGCAGGAGCAGGAGCAGGAGCAGGAGCAGGAGCAGGAGGAGGAGGAGGAGGAGGAGGAGGAGGAGGAGCAGGGGGGAGAGCATCTGGGCGGAGGAATCGGACGGAGGGAGTCGGAGGACGAGCTGGAGGGAGTGGCTGGAAGGAGAGGGGGCAGGGCGGGGGAGCTCAGCAGGGCGGGTGGCGGCCGCGGGCGGGCGAGCGGGGCGCGGTGGGAGAGCGGAGGCGGCGGCGGCCGCAGGAGGTAGAGCGAGGGGGCGGGCGGGCCGGCACTGCGTGCGAGTCCGGGCGCGAGCGGGCCCCCGCCTGGCGGTGCGCGATCGGCCGCGCCGCGGAGGACTACGGCGTGGACACCATGAAGACAGCGCCGCGGGGTGGGGGAGGGAGTCCGAGGAGGGAGAGATTGCGCCGACGCCGATGTCCTTTCCTGTCTTTCGCCTCGGGGGGGCCTCCTGGGGGGCCTCTGTCGGCACGGCTGGGGTCGCCTCGACGTTCTGGTCAGATCGCGACCCAGGAGAGGTCTGGGCAGGAGGGGGCACAGTAGTCAGAGGAGGGCGAGTTGAGACAACGGCAGTTGGCCTTGGGGGGGGCTCCACGTCGCCACGACTGGACACAGGTTGGCAAATTTGCGCGTTTGGACCCTTGCGGGAAAACTTAGAAACACCTCTTGGGTTTTTTCGGGGAGGGGGGCTTGGAGGTTTTTCTTGGAGGTGGGCCAGGCCCAACTTGTCCAAAACAACATTATTGCTTGAACAGCAAAATAAAAATTATCCTCGCGAAGGACCCGACAATGCGCAGCTGTGTGTAACGCAGTTGTGGGTATCGTCCTCGGTGAACCTCTCTCTTGAGCCACGACGCGTGTGACGGGTGTGCCAAAATTGGCACGGGTACCCCATGCGGACGTTACCACCAGAGCCGTCGGTGCAGCCCCATGTGAGGCCACGAAACGTGTGAGGGGTGCGCCGAAATGCAGGGTGGAACAACGTGCGGGTGCTGCCACTAGGGCCTTTGGGGGCCACGAAACGTGGAAGGGGTGCGCCGAAATGAAGGGTGGAACTGCATGCGGAACCTGCCTCTATGGGGCCACGAAACGTGTGAGGGTTGTGCCGAAATGGAGGTGGAACTGCATGCGGACCCTGCCACTGGGGCCTTCGGCGGAGCACCCTATAGGGCCACGAAGCGTGTGAGGGGTGCGCCGGAATGGAAGCGGATTTGCATGCGGACCCTGCCATTGGGGCCTTCGGCGGAGCACCCTATGGGGCCACGGAACGTATGAGGGATGTGCCGAGATGGAGGTGGATTTGTATGCAGACCCTGCCACTGGGGCCTTCGGCGGAGCACCCTGTGGCGCCACGAAACGTGTGCGGGGTGCGCCGACATGGGGGTGGAACTGCACGCGGACCCTGCCACTGGGGCCTTCGAAACGTGTGAGGGGTGCGCCGAAATAAAAGTGAAACTGCATGCGGACCCTGCCATTGGGGCCTTCGGCGGAGCACCCTGTGGCGCCACGAAACGTGTGAGAGGTGCGCCGACATGGGGGTGGAACTGCACGCGGACCCTGCCACTGGGGCCTTGGGTGGAGCACCCTGTGGCGCCACGAAACGTGTGAGGGGTGCGCCGAAATGGAAGTGGATTTGCATGCAGACCCTGCCACTGGGGCCTTCGGCGGAGCACCCTACGGGGCCACGAAACGCGTGAGGGGTGCGCCGAAATGGAAGTGAAATTTCATGCGGACCCTGCCACTGGGGCCTTCGGCGGAGCACCCTGTGGGGCCACGAAGGGTGTGAGGGTTGCGCCGAAATGGGGGTGGAACTGCATGCGGACCCTGCCACTAGGGCCTTGGGTGGCGCACCCTGTGGCGCCACGAAGGGTGTGAGGGGTGCGCCGAAATGGAGGTGGAACTGCATGCGGACCCTGCCACTGGGGCCTTGGGTGGAGCACCCTATGGGGCCACGAAACGTGTGAGGGGTGCGCCGAAATGGAGATGGAACTGCATGCGGACCCTGCCACTGGGGCCTTCGGCGGAGCACCCTATGGGGCCACGAAACGTGTGAGGGGTGCGCCGGAATAGACATGCGGAGGGCAGAGGCAAGGGATTGGAGGAGGGAGGAGGGGGAGGAGCGCGGGAGGTGAGGTGAGGTGAAACGCGGGGCGTTGTCTCTTCAAAACGAAGACCCAACACCACAGGATGGCTGGGAACTAACAACTACCGACAATTCCCCAGGAAACGACAGAAAAACTCCCGCTCGGGTGTTTTTGGGGGGCTGGTCCCGGGAAGATCGAACAAAACCCGTCGCAATTCGGGATAACCCCCTTGGGAAACCTCCATTCGTTTGTTGGTTGTGCTGGTAGTTGTTTTGGATTTTGTCCTATGTTTTTTTTTTTCTGGGCGTTCGTCGTGTGTGTGTGTGTGTGCGTGTGTGTGTGTGTGTGTGTGTGCGTGTGTTTGTGCGTATGTGTGTGTGTGTGCATGTGAGAGTGTGCATGTGAGAGTGTGTGTGAGTATGTGGGGCGTGTTCGTGTGTGTATGTGTGTTTGTTTGGGTCTTTCGCCAGCGCAGTGACTCTGCCTAGCCGCCAACACAAACAAGTGTGTTTGTGTGGGTGTGGGGGCGTGTGCGTATGCATGTGCGTGTGTGTGTGTGTGCGTGTGCGTGTGCGTGTGCGTGTGCGTGTGCGTGTGCGTGTGCGTGTGCGTGTGCGTGTGTGTACGTGAATGCATGTGTGTGCGTGTGCGCGCATGTGTGAGTGTGTGTGTGTGTGCGTGCGTGTGTGTGTGTATGTGTGCGTGTTTGTTTGTGTGTTTGTCTTCGTGGGTGTGTGCTTGTCTGCGACTGCGTACAGTATGCGTGTGCGTGTGCTTTTGTGTATGTGAGAGTTTGAGTGTGTCTGTGTCTGTGAGTGCGTGTGTGTGGGTGTGCGTGTGCGTGTGCGTTTGCGTTTGCGTGTGCGTGTGCGTGTGCGTTTGTGTTTGTGCATGTGTGTTGCCGAGAGTTCATGGCCGATCTGCGGTACTGGAACTTCGACATCAAGAAATATTGCTGGTGGGAAGGTCTCCTCGCGGACTAGGATCAGGTCTGGCGCAACCAGCAGGCCGAGAACGCTCGCAGGCAGGAGACGCGGGAGCGCGACGCCGCCGACCATGGCAAAGGGCGCGACAAAGGCGGCAAGCCTGGCAAGCGCCGCTTTGACGCGGCCTGGGACGACACCCTCAGTGCCCGCCCTCGGCGCTAAGCACCTGCCGCAGCCACCGCTACCCGCTGCACTTGGCACCTCTATGGGGCGCGCTGCCCGCGGGCACCGCGCCACTCCACACATGGCCCTCCTCCCTCCTCTCCCCTCCACCTTGCCACCTACCTCCCGGGTGAGAGGCGCGTCGCGCACGTGCTGCCCCCTGCACCATTTCGATGCCTCTGCTGCGCACGCTGGGCCGCTCATTGGGTCACCCAGCATCCTTACCCGGCTTCCGCACCTCCCGGTGCCCCCCGCCGCTGCCCTCTCGCGGCGTACCTCCCGGGTGGAACGCACATCGTTCGCACCCTGTCCGCTGCGCCATTTCGGCGCTTCTCTGCTACTCCCCGCTGCACCGTCCATTGGGCTGCCCAGCGTCGTCTCCCGGCTTTCGCATCCTTCGGCGCTCCCTATGCCTGCAGTCTCCGCGACGTACCTCCCGGGTGGGACGCGCGTCGCTCATTCTGGGTTTCCTGCACCACTTCGGTGCTTCCTTGTCGCTCCCCGGTGGACCGACCATCGGGTCTTGCGTTCGGTACCCAGCGTCTGCACCTCGCAGCACGCCCCGCCGCCGCCCTCCCGCGGCATACCTCCCGTGTGGGACGCGCGTCGCTCTCCCCCGGCCCCTGCGCCATTTCGGCGCTTCTCTGCTCCACCATGCTGTACCGCCCTCTGGGCCGCCCGGCGCCGCTACCCGGTTTCTGCACCTCCTGGTGCTCCCCACCGCCGCCCCCTCGCGACGCACCTCCCGGGTGGGTCGCGCGTCGCTCGCTCCCTGTCCCTTGCGCCACTTCGGTGCTCCCCTGTTTCCACGCGATGCTCCGCCTTCTGGGGCAGCCCAGCGGCGCTACCTGGCTTCTGCACCTCCTGGTGCTCACCGGCCCCGCTCCTCGCGTCGCACTTCCTGGGTGGGAGGCGCGTCGCCCGTCCACCTCTGCGCCACTTCGGTGCTCCTCCTGCGCACCACGCTGGCCCGCGTGTGTGCCGCCCTGCCTTGCTACCTGGCTTCCGCACCCGCCGGTGCTCCCCCTTTCCGGGGCGGCTCCGCGCCGTCTCTTCGTGTTGCGGTGCTGCTCCGCCCCGCCCCTGCGGGCCACCGGGACGCCCTGCCCGCCGCCTCCCTTCTGCCCCGTGGCTCCCTGGCTGCCCTGGGCGGCCACTGTCCATTCAGCTGGGCGGTCCTCGGTCGCGTCGCCGCTTCCGGGTGCCCCTCGTCGCTCCCGCGTCGCTGGTGCGCCCCGCAGCCCGCGGGCGCCTGGGACGCTCTGCCCGCTGCCTCCCGCCCTGCCCCGCCCTCCGGCCACCTGGCCTCGGGCGGTGGCGTTGCAGTGCCCTTGTCGCTGCCTGCTTTTCGCTGCTCCCGGCCCCGTGCGGTTCCGTGTCGTGCGTTTGCCTCGGGGCGCCGCGGTGCGACGCTCGCGGTGTCTCCTGTGCCCCCCCAGCCCCTGGCTGGATGCCACTCACCCCGCCACCCTTGCCACCGTGGTTCGCCACGGCCGCCCACCGCGCTCTGGCCCTGCGCGCCTGTCTGCTGCTGCCCGCCGGCTGCTCATCGTCGAATTCTTTGGCGTCTGAGCGTCCTTACTTCCTCTCGGCCTCCCCCCTTCCCTCCTTGCACGCCGGCTAATTCGCTAGCTTGTGCCCCTACCCACAGCTGATCGCTCGCTGGTGCGGATTTCGCCGCCTCGCCGCTGACGGATAAAAACATGCGATTGTGCGTGTGTGCGCGCATGTGTGTGATGGGGGGGGAGAGGGTGCACGTTTATATGTAATCTGAATTGTTTACACACCGTTCCTCCCTCTCACCGATCTCCTCCCTCCGTCCCCTCTGCTCCTGCGTGTCGGGTTTTGCGTGGGTTGCCTCGGGGGTCCCACCCACGCCGCCCGTGTGTCGGGTTTTGCGTTGTTGCCCTGATGGCTATCTTTCTTCAGCGGTTTGGGAGTGACGCTGGCAACGTCTCAGCGTTCTCGCCGTCTCAGTTCGCTTGCAGTTCATATTGTGCCGGTGCCCATCATTACGAACAGGACTGGAAGTATGCGAAGCGAAGTTGTGGTGTAATCTAGCCCAGCGGATGGAGAACATCCTGAGCAGGGGGAGGAGGACGAGAGGGAAACTGAGCAGGAGGAGCAACAGAAGAAATGCACAGGGAAGGCTTTAAGTTCTATGCGCCCCTGCGGGTCTCAATCGCACGATCGCCCTTTTGTGGCTCCTCGTGCAGACATGGAGCTCCCGCTACAGTTCAGGGTTCCTTTCGACGCCTCGAGCCCCCGACCTCGGCCCCCAGGGAGAACGAAGGGCGCACTGCTGCCCTCCAGCCTTAGTGTGAGAGGACAGGCGGCCCGTGCGATCCTCTCCCACGGCCCTTCCCGTATAGCGGGGACGGCTTCTCTCACAGGGCACCGCTGCATGGTCGTGTTGCACGGTGCCCCCGTGCGTTTGAGGAGTAACAAAAGTACCTGTACCGCTAGCCTTCCCCTGTGTTCGCCCTGTTGGACCTCCTCGGAGGCCTTCGTCGCCACCGCTGGATTCGCATCGAAATCCTGGTCGGAACGCGCTCTGGGGGATGTCTTGGGAGTAGCGGTATCGGTATATTTTGCCCCCGTGTGGAGCATCCCGCACGGCTCCCCATACAGTAGGCACGTCAAACAAGAAACGGGCTTGCCAGCAATTGTTCCACGGAGGTGTCCCTTGTCCCCGTGGCCCCAGAGGCCCACAGAAGTTCGAGGGGGCCTGGAGGACTCTCGAAGATCGGCGAGGCGCGTGCCCCAATGGCTCTCATGTTTCGCAAGGTGTGTGCGTCGTGTGTGTCCATTGTGTGGTCTGCATCGGCGTCGCGCCGGGCGGCGGCGCCCAGTGGCCCCAGGATCACGGACGACGACGCCGCCTTCATCCTCGGCAAGGGGGGCAAGACGAAGGAGCTCTCCTCGGGGTGCACGGCTCTCCCCTTGCGCCCCGAGTTCTTGGTCGACACTGGCGCAATGCCGCCGCAGGTTGACAATTGGGGAATCTTGTCCAGCTTCTCGTTCCTCCTTCTCCTCCTCCTCCTCCTCCCCCTCCTCCCCCTCCTCCCCCTCCTCCTCCTCCTCCTCCTCCTCCTCCTCCTCCTCCTCCTCCTCCTCCTCCTCCTCCTCCTCCCCCTCCCCCTCCTCTCCCCCTCCTCCTCCCCCTCCCTCCTCCCCCTCCCCCTCCCCCTCCTCCTCTTGTTGCTGCTGCTTCTCTGGTGCATCGCCCCCTCCTGCTGCTGCCAATGCTGCGCATCTTCCTATCCTCCCCCATTCCTGGCATTCCTCCCCGTCTTCATTCCCGTCCTCCCAGTCTCCACCCCGCCCCCCGCGGCCGCTCCCGCTTGGCGCGGGTACTGGCGCATCCGGCCCTGTCGTCGCTGCGAGAGGCGTGTGTGCCCCTCCACACGTGCCGCCTGTGGGTGAGTCGGGCCTGACACAAGGTAGGATCGGGAAAGGGGCTGGGTTGCGAAATCTGCATGCGTTCGGCCCCACAGCGACGAGGCCCATTCCTCGATAAATGGGCGCCACGAGGCGCCAGGAAAACCAGCTACGTGAGCTGATTCTCTACCCTACCCTTTGCTGTCCTACCCCTTCGCCTCCCCCCCCTCCCTCCCGACACACGTGCCTCTTGTGGGGCAGGAAGCCTGGAGCCCTCCTAGTGCTGCGGCCCGGTGCGGGTGTGGAGGGCTCCGCCTGCGCCCACGAGGCCCAGGGCTGGAGTTCAACGCTCTTTTGCTGGACTGCGGCTGTGCTGTGCTTTGCTTTCCGTTCTGGCGGGGGGGCACAGGAAAACAGGCAGGGCAGAACGAAAGCAGCACGAACCACAACCTTTGGGTCCAGCCCGGCCGAGTAGGGGGCCACGTGCGAACCCCCACCCCTGCCCCCCACGATTCCTGAGGGGGGCTCCCGAGCGAAGTGAACCCCGCCCTCCCCCTCAGAAATCGTGGGGGGTAGGGGTGGGGGCTCGCATGTGGCCCCACAACCTTTGGGTCCAGCCCGGACGAGTAGGGGGCCACTTGCGAACCCTACCCCCACGACCCCACGATTCCTGAAGTGAACCCCGCCCTCCCCCTCAGAAATCGTGGGGGACAGGGGCAGGGCTCGCACGTGGCCCCCTGCAACGAGGCACCTCCTGCTCGTCGGGTGCTGCTCTGGCTGCCGCCGGGACCGCCCGTGGGCCTCTGGCGGCGGGGCCCCCGCCTCCAGGGCCCCGCGGCCCGCCATGCGGCGGGCCCTCCGCGGGGCGGCCGCTCGGCCGCCTGCCGGGCAGGGCCGGCGACGAGTCCCCCTCCCCCTCCTCCTCCCCCCACCTCCTCCTTCTCTTGCTCCTCCTGCTGCTCCTCCTCCTCCTTCTCCTCCTTCTCCTCCTCCTGATTTACCCCCCTAGATGGGGATATAGGCCGTTCCCTGCGTCGGGTAGAGTTCAAGCAGTGGCGAAGCGTCCTGGCTCGCCTACAGGCCTGCCAAACCATGCTCTGAGACCCTTGTGTGGTTTTCACGAGAGGTTCTTAGACCATGTCTGGCTGGGACTGTCTTGTTTTGTCACCTCGGGCTTCTGTTCTAAGAACATTGTTTCTGTCCTTCGAACATTTCTGGGTTCTAAGAACATGTCGTGGTAGGACTAGAGGAATGCCGGGACGATCGGTCCCTGCTTAAAGAGTGCCAGATGGCGCGCTGCGTTGTGCAAGATGTTGTAATCGCGGGCCTGGAGGTTGACACCAACACGGATCTCGGCGGTGTGCCTCCACCGAGGGAAGAAGATCCCGATCTCGGTGACGGTGGTAATATTCTGGCCTCCAAGGTGGCCCAAACATTACCACCGCCAACACCGAAATCGAGGATCATCTTCCCCCTGTGGAGGCAACCCCCTGTGTTGGTGTTGGTGCCAATTTCCAGGCCTCCCATGCAAATCGGGAATGAAAAAAGGGCATCAAACATAAACTGTTGGCGCTCCGCGCGGATTTCTTGGATCCACGCCTGGGCCCCCCGGCGGCACCTCCGGCGCCGCCCCTGGCGCGCCCCGCGCGCCAGGGAGGGGGATCCAGCGCGAATCCAAGAAATCCGCGCGGAGCGCCAAAAGTTTCTGTTTACGTGGTTTCTTCTTCTTCTAATGCCGCTGCCCTCCGCCAGTTGTCGCCCTTTTTGGGGGGCCTCCTTGCAGGCCCTCGCCACCGGGAGAATTCTTGGGAATAGCGACAGAAATGCCAATTAATTTTGCCAAGAACGACGCATGGGCAAGGGGGCGTGCGCGGAATCCGTTGTCCGCCGCCTTGCTTGAGGGGGGCCGATGCTCGGACCCCCCTGGGATCCATCGCTCTGCTGTGGCTCGGCGGGGGCGAGCCCCGGAGAACTGCCGGGGGCGGGGGGGGAACTTCGGGGGGGGGGCGGCCGCTCGAGGAGTGGCCTCTCCTCTCCCCTCCTTGACCGTCTCCTATTTCCTTTTGCCCTCCTTTTGCCCTCCTCCTTTGCTCTCCCCTCCTTTGCCGTCTCCTCTTTTGCCTCCTTTGCCGCCTCCTCTTTGTCGTTAATTATTTTGCTCTCCCCTTTTCCTCTTGCTCTCTCCCCGCCCGTGTTCACGTGTCCCTTCGCCCTTCCTCTTCCTTCCTCCTCCTTTGCTTCGCCCCCTTCTTCTCTATCCAGTCTCGCTCCCAGCGGGAAGCCCAGGGGTGCGGAATGAGGAGGGAGGAGGGGAGAGTGAGAGGTGCCGATGGAGAGAAGGTGGAGAAGAGTGGAGGCGGGACGAGGGAGACGGAGTGAGGAGGAGGGAGGGATGAGAGAGGAGAGACGAGAGGGAGGGGTGGGGTTTTCAAGAGGAGGGACTGAGTCGAGGGAGTGGGGGGATGGAGACAGGAGGGGGGAGAGAGAGGAGTGATGCAGGCGGGAGCAGGGAACGAGGAGGACGGCGACAGAGAACGGGGCAGCTGAGCGGAAGACATCTCCTCGAGTCGGTCAGTCGGTCAGGCGGGCGAACTCCGCTTTCGGCTGGTCCGCGGGTCGGGCGGGCGGCCCCTGCCGCGGGCGGTCGGCCGGCCGTGCCGGGCGGACCTTTATTCGCGTGGTCGAGGGGCCTTCTTTGGAGATGGCGAGGAGGAGGAGGAGGAGGAGGATGGGAGGACGAGGACGAGGACGCCGAACAAGGTCTGGACGACGAAGAAGAGGATGCGGAATAGGAGGAGGAGGAGGAGGAGGAGGAGGAGGAGGAGGAGCACGAATACGGGGGAATGCGGAGGAGGAGGAGGAGGAGGAGGAGGAGGAGGAGGAGATGCGGAGGAGATGTGAAAGAGGAGGAGGAGGAGGAGGAGGAGCACGAAGGAGGAGGAATAGGGGAAGGCGGGGCAGGAGAGACTGGGCGGTCGGGCCTGGGCTCCAGGCGGTCGGTTGGCCGGTTCGGGTGCCAGTATGTCTGTTGCTTTGTCGTTGGATTTCAGCATGATTCTTCATGGCTCCAATATCGCAGAGCGGATTTCGTTCGGGAATGTATCGGATGGACCCAGAGTGTCCTGGAGAATTTCGTTCCGGATTTCGATATGCAGTTCGTGCGGATGTTTTGGTTAGGAATGGAGAATGTAACACATCCGAGACTGTCACGTCGTTTTTCGTTTGCCGTTTCGGCGTTTCGTATTGACAGACATCCGCGCAAAAATCCGCTGCAGCACGTCTGCAGGGTCGGTGCAATGATGATGCATGTTTTGCGCAGCTCGGAGATCTGCTTCACACACGAAGAAACGAAGACGGCGTTGGCCCCCCCACACACGGTCTACTGTTTGGTTGGATATTGGAACAGTAGGTTCAGGTTCGTAAACACGTTTGCGCTGTTGGTGTTGATGCGCTCGCGCGTAGCGGCGCGGTATCACACACATTGTTTGCACAAATGTACCCTAAAGTCTATGCACAACATATTGCTAAACGCGTCATGTGTCGCAGTCGGATAGCTTGTGTCAAACGACTGAATGTTCCAACCGCACAAATGTATACGACTGCATGTTTGCTTGCAGCTTTGCCCGTCTGGTTGTAGAGCTCTCCCATCCGTCTCCCTCTGTCCTTTCCCCCACCACTTCCGCTCTCACCTCCTCCTCCCGCCTGCACCCTCCTCGCCTCATCCCTCCCCTCCTCGCTCCCTCCTTCCTCCGTGGCCCCCCTCCCCTCCTCGCTCCCGCCCCCTCCTCTGCCGCCGCGCCGAGGAGAAGATCGCACGCGTCTCCCAGGCCCGCGGCGGGGGGCGCGGGAGGAGGGGGGGGTCGCGGCGCTGGCCGCCGTCGGGGCCTCTCGGCCGGGCTCTGGGCAGCACTTCCTCGGAGATCCGGCCGCGGCAGGTTCGCGCCCCGCTTCCCAGAGGAAACGCGAGTCCGCCGCGCGCTGAGCGGGGTGGAGGAGGAGGAGGAGGAGGAGGAGGAGGAGGAGGAGGAGGAGGAGGAGGAGGAGGAGGAGGAGGAGGAGGAGGAGGAGGGGGAGGAGGAGGAGGAGGGAGGAGGAGGAGGAGGAGGAGGACGAGGAGGAGTGACCCTTCGCCGGAGTGACCTTTGGTGCGCGCTCACTGGGCTCCCCCCATCGCCGCGCTCGTTGCGATAGAAACGTCTTGCGCGCTTGTGTGTTGGCCTCCTTCGCCCCCCCAAACAGCCGCGCACCAAAGGTCATTCTTGCCCAGGGTCACTCTCCCGTGCAGCCGATGGGGGGAGGCGGGAGGGCTTCTTAGCAGCACTCCTGCTTCTTTGAAGGCGCGGGCCTTCTCTATACATGTAAAGTTGGCGCCTTCTAAGGAGCAGCCCCCTTTTCAGAAGCCTTCCCACCTCCCCCTACCCCCCTTCTGCGCGCCGCCAACCCCTGCTTCCTACAAGGAGCGGGCCTTTATAGATGTAAGACCGGCGCCTTCTGAGGAGCAGCCTTTTGAGAAGCCCTCCCCCTCCCTCCGCCCCCTTGTGCGCGCTGCGAAGTTCGGGGAGGGGGGGGGACAGGCTCTGGGGGGAATGCATCGACCCCCGAATCTCCCATTCATATCCGATAGGGGCCCGACATCCCTCCCCGCCCAGGAACTGGCGGATTCGCGATCGGAGACCTGTCGTCGATTCTGTCGGCGATGTACCACCGATTTCAGGCTGACGCTTCCTCCCCTGAGCCAGTTCCCTGCCTGGTGGCTTTGGGGTCGTAATTCGGGCCTCCGGCGGCCGTTCGGGACAACCTGGGCACCCCCGGAACGCTCTCGCGGCGAGGTGCAGCAGCCGGGAAGGCACCCCGAGGCCGGAAAGCCACCGACAGACAGAAGCCGTGCACAACATAGGTGCGTTGGCAGAAGTGGTGAAGCAGAGACGATGGGGTGAAACGGCGAGCGTGCTGAGCACGGAAGGAGTGGGAGGAGGAACACGAGGAGGATGAGGAGGAGGATGAGGAGGAAGAGAAGGAGGAGGAGGAGAAGGAGGAGGAGGAGGAGGAGGAGGTCGATTCTCGAACCTCGAAATCCCTCTCACGACACCACAGGACCGAGCTGTTCGGCGCTCGGGGCCACGGCTGGGCGCTCGAGAGATGTGTCGGGACTGACGACTCGGGGCAAACGTCGCCCTGGGCTGGTTCGCGCCGCCTCTAGGCAGCGAAATCCGAACCCTGCCCTCGCCGATCAACGATTCAAGAAACTCAATGGGCGGCTGGGGTAGGGTTTCCGAATTTGTCCAACACGTGGCGAAATTCGGACCCCACCCCCGGTTCCCATCGATTCAGGAGAATCGTCATTGGTGGGAGTAGGGTTTGGATGTCGCCACGGTGTCCTCGACGTGGCCACGACTGGCGCGGCTATCTCCAGGAATGACAAGGAACACCGTATTCATACATTTTCAGTCGCCAGCGCTTCGCTCGTTCGTGGGACGGCGCTGGAGCACCCCTTCCCTGCGCTCCAGCGCCGCCCTTTGGACGGAGTATGGGGAGGCATGTCCAGGGTCGATCCACGAGATCGCGGGGTCCTCCACAAGTTCACGCTTCCTGGCGGGACACGGTGAAATCCCATGCGTGCACAGTGTTTTGTTTTGTCAGCGCGCGCGTTAGCATAACTTAATACTGGATTGTTCTTCGATAGCACCCGAAGGCCAGTAGTGTCGTTCGAGGCGACGCAGACGGTAATTACATGGCAGTTTAATACCTAGCGCTTTACATCGATGACTGCGGCGGCTGCTCCCCGGGAGTTTGGCGAAGTGGCGCGGCAGCACCGAGAGTCGCGGTGCAGCGCGCATGCCAGCTGTCCCTGCCGGGGGCTGCCAGATGGCTGCCTTGGGGTACGCCGGGGCGCTGAAGAAGGAACCATTTTCGTTGGGAAGGGGCTCGGTGTTCCTTAATTGTTTCGCAGTTTGCCAAAGGTTTCCTTGTATAGTCTGGTTGTGGAGACTGCAGGTTATGTTCGGCGGGAGTGGGGACTGTGCGGTTTCACATTTTGGTCTCTGCAGCCGCTGGGGCTCGAGACCTGGGGATGTGCCAGTGGGCCGTGTCCGGCCGAAACCACGCTCGCGCTGGGGAAGGGGGGGGCCGCGCGGCGATGGGGCCATGGGGGTTCGTGGCGCACGCCGCGGTGATCTTCATCGGCGGAATGCTGACGAGCCGGGCCAAAAGATGGTGGCCGTTCGGTCAAGGGCTGAATGGTGCGGCTCCCGCGCCGTCGGCGACCGATCCACCGAGGCGGATACGGGAGCCTACTCCGCCCCCCCGTGTAGTTCACAGCCCTAACGGCGAGGGATGCGGGGGGTCTGGAGCGAAGCCGCCAGCCGCGAAAGCGAGCACGGGGTTCGGGAAGGGGCCATCGCCCCCTGCGCCGCCCGCCGCCGGAAAAGGGCGCCACCCGGGTATCCCGACGGCGACCACCATCACGACTGCGACAACGACTTCGACTACGGGACGCGTTGTGGAGGGGGAGGGGGAGTCCGAGAAAGTAAACCCCGAGCCTGCTGCGCTGGAGGAGCCCTGGGGCTCATGCAGTGAGGGTTGGCGCGCTTGGTTGCCGACCATGCCAACTTGGTGGTGTACGGAAGAGATCGATGAGCCAACGTCCAGCGGGCCATCCCCGGGGTTCACGGCTTGGGGCTTTGAGATCAGTGAGTTGGGGATTTGCCCAAACACGCCGGAGCGCGTGGGCACGCTCCGGCAGGGTCGAGGGTGGATCGGAGTTGCGGAGGACAGCTTGGGCGTGAACCTGGGGCACCGCCGCGCTGTACACGATGATGGCCATGTTGGCGTTCTTGCTGGCTATTGCCGCTTACTGCGTCAACGCGGTTATGGTGCCGCTTGCCCTGAACTGTGCCGGGACACTTCGGGTGTTGGGACAGTTTGCGGCGCGTTGCCGCCGACGGGCCGCGGGGCTGGAGGCAGCCCTCCCGCCGCCGCCGCCGCCGCCCCCGCTGCGGCGAGTGTTATTCCGTGGCGTGGCCCTGGAGTGGGTGGGGATGCCAACGCCGCCTACTACAACAGGGGGGTCCGCGGCCAGGGCACTAACCAAACACCGGACCCCCTGCTGCTGAGCAAGCACGGGCAGGTAGCCCGCGTGTCCTGCAACTTCAGTGCAGCTGCGGGCCCTGGGGGCCATGTCGAACCGCGCCTCGATCGACATGGATTGACGGTGCATATTGACCAGGTGACGGGTTGTACGAGTCGTACCGGGAGGGCAAACTTGGAGGCTATCGGCCAGGTGCACCTCTGCCGGGCGGTCGGGCGCATGGTTGCGCACCCGACGCACGCTGACCAATGCGCAGCCATCCACCATGCGCAGATCGTGCGCCTCCGGCGCCACTTCTGCGCGGGCCACGCTGCGACCCCGTTCCCCCCCCCGTCTCGCGCGCGCTGACCCGCCTTGGTCAGGCGCCCGCTCGCACCCACGGGCGCGGCGAGCCAGGCGACGGAATGCTTAGGCTGGCGCCGCCGGGCCCGCCAGGCGCCAGACGCGGCCCCGGCTCGGGGGCCGCGAGCCGGGAGATGGCTGGCACTGGACATTCGAGCTCCGAGCCCGCTGGTGTTCGCGGCGCCCGCGCCCCAGGCTGCGTCGCACTTGCTCTGCCTGGGCCGCGCGTCTTTCTTCGTTTATGTGATGATTCCCTCCCTTCTGCTCCTTTCGGTGCTCATCGCCCCTTCGCGCTCAGCAGCCTCTGTCTGTTGCGCGTCGGCGAGTCCGCCGAAGCGGCCCGGCGTTTGCCCGGGGAGGGCTCGTGGTTGCGGGCAAATGGCCACCGTGCGTGTTGCGCTTTTGGTTTTGCGTTTTGATGGTGTCTCTTGGGCCGGCGAGCGCGCCGAGAGGGCGCGCGCCCTCGGCTGCTACGCGCCGCGCTGCGCGAGCCCAGCTCGGGCTCGCGCCGAGGAGTGCGCGCGCGGCCGCGTTGCCATCATCCTTGTCCTTCTCCCGTCCTCGTCCTCTTCCCTCCTCTCCTCCTCTGGCGTTTGTGCACGCGCGCTTGCGCGTAACTTGTATAGTTTGGTCGTTGCGACTGCAGGTTATGCGCGGCGGGAGTGGGGGCTGGGGTCTCCCATTTTGTTTTCTGCAGGCGCTGAGGGTCGAGATCTGGGGTTGCCCACCCACCCCGCTCTGCTCCCTCTGGTCACTCTCGCCTCGTCGAGGCCGATGGGCCGGCGAGCGCGCCGATAAAGGCGCGCAGCCTTGGCTGCTGCGCGCCGCGTTGCGTGAGCCTGGCTCGGGCTCGCGCCAAGGAATGCGCGCGTGGCCGCGTTGCCAAAACCATCACTTTCGTCTTTCTCCAGTCCCCGCCCTCATTTAAGGATCCCCGTCCTCACTTATGGCTCGTTCCTCATTAAGAGTTCCTTAGGTCAGCGTTTCGATTGCAGTGCTCATATCGAGGACGCCAGCGGCACATCACCGGCCGCTTCTTGGGAGTTTGCGCAGCATCGAAAGTCGTGACGCGGCGCGTATGCCAGGTATCAAATGGCCGTCGGCACATCCCGCGACCGTGCTTGGGTTTTGGGTCGGAGTCCTCATGGACGCTTCTTGGGGTCTCGAGACTGCTCTCGGGGGCCTCTGCGGGGGAGTTTAGGGTTCCTGGGGGCCTCATGGAAGCTTCTTGGGAGCCTCTTGGGGCCCTCTTGGAGGCTCTTGGGGGCCTCTTGGGAGCCTCCTGGGGGCCCTTTTTAGGTTCTCCTGGGGGTCTCTTGGGACCGAACGCTCGAAATGTCCGTTCGGGTTCCCCGTCTGGGCCCCCTTTTGGGGCCGTCCGGTCCTGTGGCGCACTTCTGGGCCGTCCCGGGGGCCTCTTGGGCCGTCTTGGTGCCCTCCTGGGCCGTCTTGGAGCCCCTTTGGGGACTTCTTGGGCTGTCTTGGGGCGATTTGGGGGGCCTCTGTGGCCGCGGGAGTGTCGGGAAGCCAAAATGGCGAGAACTCCAACATCTTTCAAAAACCATCGAACAATCCATGAATTTTGCTTCTTTGGGCCCTCTTGGGGGTGCTCTTGGAGGCCTCCTGGGGCGTCTTGGAAGTGTTTTGGGCCATCTTGGGCGTCTTGGAGCGATTTGGAACCGTTTGGAGGCTCTCTTGGACCGTCCTGGGGCTCGTTTGGGCCGTCCTGGAACGCACTTGGGTCGTCCCCGGGCCGTTCGGGTTGAGGCCGGGGGGAGGCCGGCGGCAGAGTGGGGCCCTTTCGGAGGGATTTTCAGGAGGTTACTGACCAGGCACTGGCGAAGGTGACCAAAGACTGTGCCAAACACTCTGTCAGAGAGGTCTCGCACGGCCCACACCGCAGGGCGGGAGCGGCCGGATTTGAAGAGCTGCGCTCTCTGCCGCCGACACCCTAGGCTGAACCAGCTCGTGGACCCCCTCGCGTCGCGGACTGCGCGCCGGGAGAGAGTGAAGTCTTGGCGTTGAGACCGCCCGCTCCCACCTCCATCTGATCGGCGCAACAAGACGTGGTCCTTTGCGCCGGCATTGGCGCGTTAGTTGCCCGCGAAAGGTCGCGCGTGAGCGCCCTCGTCTCCAACGCAGCGCGCCGCGTGGGCGGCCCGCGGAAGCCACCGCGTAGTGTCGCCACGCTATCTCGCGCAAGACCCGTTTTTGATCGTCTCTCGTCTGTTCCTCCCCGTCTCCTCGCCGTCCCTTTTTTCCCTCCCCCATTCCGTCTCGATTCGTGTCATCCTTCCCTATTCCGCTTCCATGTCCCCTTCCTCCTCCTTTCTCTTTTCTTCTTGCTCCTCCTGTTCCTCCTCCGTCCCTTCCCGATTGTTTTCTATCATCCTCTTCCTGTTCCTCTGGGGGCCCACTTGACGTCTGCTTCTTCTTCTTTTTCTTCTTGGGCACTTTTGGGGTTCTCTTGGTGGTTCTCTGGGTCGTTTGGGGCTGTATAGGGCCGTCTTGCGGCCCTCTTGGGCCATTCCTAGCCGAATTGGGGTCGTTGGGGACACTCTTGGACCGTCTGGGGGCACTCTTGATCCGTTTTGGGGGTTTATTGCGCCATGTTTGAGCCTTCTTCGGGTTCTCTTTGGACTCTCTTAGGCGGACTTGGGGCCATATTGCAAGCATCTTGCCCGTCATGGGCTTCCCCCAAAAACAAAAAAACGATGGTTCCGCGAGGCCCTTCTGAATGGCCTGCCTGTCGGGCTCTCTTGAGCAGTCTTGGGTGTTTTTTCCATCCTCAAGCATTGAGGGCCCTTCTCGGGTCGCGTTCGGCGTGCGAGGTATTCTTTGGAGTGTGCTGGGGTGGTCCTCGGGGAGTCTCGGCCCCTCCCGGCCGTGCGGTGGCGATGCTGCGGGAGTCTTGGCGGACCTCCGAGCGGCCAAGATGTGAGGGAACATCCCCCCAGGTGACTTCTTTTGGTGCCGCAGGCCCCCGTGTTATTTTTAGGAGGGAGGAAACACACAGACACCAATAATCGACGATCCTTCGGAAAATATAGAAAATGTGGGACGTGGATGGGGAAGACGAACATCCATGGAATATTGACAAGTATTGGGAATATTGGGATGTGTGTCTATGTATGTGTCTGTGCGTGTCCCTGGCCCCCTTCGAGGATACACACGTACGGCAGGTCCGCGCCGCGTTAACGCGACGGCGATCATGCCGCGGGCGTTCAAGTTTGAACGCCGCCAGTGGCCCAGCATCGGCCATTGTGGAACGATCCGGCGATCGAAAAGCCGCCGATCTTTGAAGGTTGAACGATCCGCGCGGTGTCAGAGACAAGCGCCGACGTCATCGCGACGCGAATTTGCTGTACACACAATGCCGCACAAAGAACCCTTGTCATCAGCCCAGCAGTTCCCCACAAAAAGTTGTGCGCCCCCAGATGAGGCCGGCGGATGTCACAAGCACTGGCATAATTGTTGCGTCTTTGGCTGTTGATGTTGAGAAGCATTTCGGATGATCCCCCCAACCCCGCGGAGTGGCCGCCATGGCTGCCTCACGCTGTCCGCCAGTGTGAGATCGAGCTGTTTGAGCGCGACCTCATCTTGGAGCTCCGCGGGTCGAAGATGGAGCGGAGGCGCGCGAAGAAGTGCCCTACGCAGCCGGGCTGGCGGCCTGAGGCGGTGGCGCTGGAGGACGAGGAGAAAGTGGAGGAGGCGACTGCCAGGAGACGGCGGGGAGGCAGCCAGGGAAACCGCGGCTGCGAGGCTCTGCCTCCCTCCTCCTTGCCCCCTCCCTCCACCTCTCCTCCGCTCTTTTCCTCGTCACTCTCTCCCGTATTCTTTTCTGCCTCCTCTTCCTGCTTCACGCGTTGCACGAATTCCATGTAACAGGTAGGGAAGATATACCTCCCAATGGCGATACGATCGAACACAAAGAGGGTAGATATTGAGGGGTTGGGATTTACATGTTGAGAGATAAGTGTGCGTATAGGAGTGAACAGTCGTAACACAGTATTGTTATGTTTCTTGTCGTCGTCGCCCGCCCCGCGACCCACCCCGTGACCCACCCGCGACCTACCCGGCAGCGGCGACCCACACAGCTGACCCACACCCGCGACCCAGCCACAGTGTGTCGCCGCCTGCGGCGGGCAGTTCTGCGGCGGAGTTATGTCATTTCAGTTCGATCATCGCGAGCCGCCGACGCACCCACATTGTTCTGAAAAAGTCAGCACCCCGTGGCGGGCGAATTGTGTTGAGAAAGAGCAGCGCCCCCCACACAAAACACTCAAGGCCTCCAAACATAAGATAAACGCCCCCAAAAATGATAAGCGCCCCTGGCCCCCCAGGAACCCTCGACAGGCCGTCCTTCAGGGGTGTTTGAGTTTTGCGGGGGTGAGTTCACCCAGGCCCTCCAGGAACCACAATGGGGCCCCCCAGGACCCCCCGAAATGAGGGTTATCCTGTCTTCCAGGGACCCACCAAAAACCCACCTCAAGACGAAGAGGACGGGTATCGATGGGTCGGGATATACATTTTAAGTGACAAGCGTGCAGATAAAAACAAACAGTCATTGTCCCAGTGCGACCCTACCTAGGAGTTGGAGGATCTAGGAAAGCAACATCTAATACTTATATGAAGCTAAGCTAAGCTAAGATGAAACTAAGCTAAGATGGAATAATCT